AAAAGAACATGATCAATGAGTATGAGTTTATTGAATTATTATAGAAGCGCTTATCGATTCTTGGCCTTGGCTTGCAAGGAACAAGAAATGGCGCAACATGGCCGATACAAGCCGGCATCGCCATTTGTCCTCGTCAAGCGGCGGCGGCGGTGTTTTGGTCTGACCATGATTTTTGTCACTTACAAGTATCAGCCCTCGATTAACATGATTTATACATCCTCAGAGAACAAAATACATTCGTCAAAGACTATCAAGATGATCAATGTAAAATAATCAATCGCTGCACATCGCAGGGCTGATCATCTTCAGCTGGTGGAAACGGTTGAGTGGATCGCTCCATTCGCGGGACCCCCTCCTCAACCAAAAAGAGCGAACAGCTATTCTAATGCCTCATGAACTAATTCTACAATATTTGTCGAAAATGATTCATCGTGCTGGATTATCTCCCTCCTTTTCTTTCTGTTTCTTTGATGGTTTTGGTGGTGTAGTCGGCAGGATCCCGGCATTGACGCGTCAACACTCACTCCTACGTCGCGGCTAAACACCATACCTCATCACATCTAAAAACAAGCTTATTCCCAAGCTCTGATATCAATGAAACCCGAGGCCAGCTCAGCCACTACGGCCACCGCCGTCGCCGCCACCGCCGTTGCCGCTGAAGATGCCTCTCCCGACGACGCCCTCGCCGTCGTCGGCCTCTGCGCGCACGCCGTCGACCCCGTCCTCTCCGCGCGCGTCGTCCGCAAGCTCGACCTCTACCTCGTTCCCTTTATGCTCGTCGGCTACGGCCTCGTCTACTACGACAAGGCCATTCTCGGCTCCGCCGCCCTCTTTGGCATGACGTCTGACCTTGCCCTCGCCATACCCATTCCGCACACAGCACCCCCCCAAGTCGACACCCGCCGTCTCAGCTGGGCCACGTCCCTCTTTTACTTTGGCATGCTCGCCGGCCTGTACCCTCTAACCTTTGCCCTTCAACGCTTCTCCCGCGCCGGCCGCGTCCTCGGCGCCGTCGTCCTACTGTGGTCCCTCGTCTGCATGCTCACCGCCGCCGTCTCCTCCTGGCGGGGGCTCTACGCGCAGCGCTTCGCCCTCGGCTTCGTCGAGAGCGTCGTGCCCACCGCCTTCATGACCATTGTCAGCAGCCACTACACGCAGCAGGAGCAGAGCCTCCGCCAGAGCTGGTGGTTCTCCGCCACCGGCCTCTTCACCATTGTCGGCGGCGCCCTCAACTACGCCTTTGCCCAGGTCCGCGGCGGCGGGCTCGCCCGCTGGCAGTACATTTACCTCCTCGCCGGCGCCCTCACCTTCTTGTTTGGCCTCGTCTGCTTTGCCGCCCCGAGCTCGCCCGTGTCGGCCTGGTTCCTGACGCCCGAGGAGCGCTTCGTGGCCGTGGAGCGCCTGCGCGCGGGGCAGACGGGCGTGCGGTGCACGCGCTTCAAGTCGGCGCAGCTACGCGAGGCCGTGGCCGATGCCAAAGTATGGCTCGTCTTCGTCATGATGGCCTCGTGCTACACCATGAACGGCGCCGTCAGCGGCTTCGGCCCCCTCATCGTCTCCACGTTTGGCTGGAACACGCTGCAGTCCATCCTGCTCCAGTTCCCGCTCGCCGGCCTTTGCTTCTTCGTCATCCTCGCTGTCGGTCACCTCGGCGGGCGCTTCACCAACATTCGCGTGTTTCTGCTCGTCGGCACCTGCCTGCCCGTCATTGTCGGGTGCGCGCTCATCTGGAAGTCCACTTGGTCGCACCACGCCGCCGCACCGGTCGTCGGCTACTCGCTCACCGGCTTCTTTGGCGGCACGGCGAGTTTGATCATCACGTTGGGCATGGCCAACGTGGCGGGGCACACGAAAAAGAGCTTCATGGCGGCGACGATTTTCGTGGCCTACTGCGTGGGTAACATAGTTGGTCCGCAGCTGGTGTGGTCCGAGACCAAGAGCCAGCACTATCCGGCGCTGTGGCTGGGACTAATTATCTGGTGGGTTTAGTCGGCAGCGCGTGTCGTGTGCGAATTTGTTTTGCTAACCAATCTCAGCTATGTGATTTGTATCGTGGCATCGCTGGTGCTGTACGTCGTACTGCGCCGCGAGAACAAGGCGCGCAGAGTCATGCCCATCGACGAGGCGGAGAGTGCCAAGCTCGCCTTTCAGGATCTCACAGACAAGGAGAATCCGTACTTTCGATACGTATACTAGCAATGTGCCGTAGATGATCTGCGTAAATGCACAAAGAACGAGACATTATCGTGTGAAATCGTTTGATGCATTATGAAACCGGACGCTAGCGGTCATGGCTCGGGGTGGTTTTGTACATCATGCCAACACATAATGTATGAGGCGCTATGCTGTGACAAATTATATACATCATAATATTCTTCGTGCTCCATACCATGGACTTCATGTAGGTTCCCGGCTCCGTGGCAGGGCGCGCTCAGCGGCGCGTGGCGACCGAGCATGGTGGAGTCGTGATATATCTAAAACTCCCCGGCTGGTATTTTAATGCAGAAAACTTGGCCTTGTTAGTGTTTTAGCCTGGGATATACACCCTCGTGCGGCTGGGCCCATGCCAGAAGGTATCCTGGCACTCATGGTCGTCCTTCCACTTGTTGATGCGGTCTGGCAGCCAACCTGATGTCGAGTCCTCGCAAGTCTCGCCATAGTAAAAGACGCCCTCACCGACGAAGCACTCCCTGGTCGGGCTGCCGCGCCATGTCCATTGGAGGCATTCGGGTAACGAGCGGCAATGCGCCTCGCAGTCTTTCGCAGACTTGATGCTGGAGGAAGAGGCTTTGCGGCATAGTACGTCATTATTTCTCCAATTGTCGCGCATTTGCTCAGATCCGGGCTTGTAAAAGTCCCAGACATCAGCGTACCTCGCGGGATGCTACAAAACAGATTAGTTGACTTGACCAAGGTCAAGTTTTTCGAGGAGAGAGGGCATACCGAATTGTTTCGCGCGCCATACTCCCAGCGAGCCAGGCCGCGCATTTGTTCCGGCGATGGCTTGTGAAAGGTAAATATGGGAGAGCACCAGCGCATTGAGTCAAAGGGCACCGTGTGGAAAACGTGCTGGGTGAACATGGGATACAGCGCCTGCATTTCAATACCAGACAACCACAGGATATAGCCCAAAATGTTGTCACCGCATGGTTCGTCATCGTTGACGAGATAGCGCCACTTTTCGGTAAATGAAGGGCCCACGAAATGGCCAGTACGGTCAGTTTCGCGGTGTAGCAGACGCTTGACGGCGGCGCGGCTGAGGACGTAGCCAGGGCCGCCGTTGGCAAAGGTGGTGCCGTAATTAACGTTGTCGCGTCGTCCCGGGGTGGAAGATCCCATGTAGAGGGGCACATCCGGGTCCAATGTCTTGAGAAATCGAAACAGATTGTCCCAAAAGACATAACTGCGCATGCGTATCGAGTTAGCCGTCGTTGACTGTTACGCGAGCTGACCAAGGATGGCAAGCGGGCAGCATGCAGACCACGTGGGGTGAAGAAAACTCACGTATCCGACTCATAAAAGACATAAAAGTCGCGGTTGGGCTTCATGAGCCATGCTTGCTCGACAGCAGGGACAAATTTGAATCTGTCAAGCTTCCAACCGTTGATCGTCTTGAGCCTCTCGGGGTACTTGTAGGCGGAGCCATTCTCGAGCATGCGACGCTGCTCGAGATAAGGCTTGAATTCGGAGAAGCTGTGGTAGGTGTCGGGCAAGAGGGCGAGAATGTCAATAACCTCGTGGCCCGACATGTTGCCAGGCGCATCCGAAAAGACGAGCAGCTCGCCGGGCTTGAAACAAGCACTGGCGCCGTCAAATTGACCGGGCATACGGTTGGGATCATCGGTAAAGCCCGTCTTGAGGATAGGTTGAATGGTCTGGAGGAGGTGGTTGGGGAAACTCGAGCATAGCTGGTCCATGGTCTTGTTTTGCGGCGGCATGGAGACGGGGCGGAAGTCCGAGGTGGTGACAATGCGGTATGGCTCGTGGACGTCGGGCCACAGGGGAATAAAGTGCTGCTCCAACGGTTTGGCGGGGCGCATCGATCGGGTGAGGAAGCTAAAGGCAGCGAGGGCGCAGAGAGCGCAAAGGGCGATTATCATGTTGCGCTGGACTCGTTTGCCAAGGTAGCCTCGCCCGACGGCGGGGGGCGAAGTCGAGTATCGTGGCGATTTGCCAAGCAGTGACATGATGGCGGATGTGGGTATATACGTTACGTAGAATATGTGTTTTTCGACGCTTTTGGAATCATCAAAAAGGCCGGTTGTTTATATGATGGGCCGAGGGGGATAAATAAAGGCGGGAAGCGAAACACGGTTGAAGCGTAAAATGTTGAGCAAGGAGCCTTGTGGGCGGCCAGGTCGTTGGGTCGGTCGGACGAGGCCAGCAAGATGAATCAAATGATGGATGTCGAGCGTCGCGAAATGTTGACAGAAGCGAGCCGGACTGTCATGATGGTTTGACAGGCGCGCGCAAAGCAGAAAGAAAGCAAATGCATGAGTCTTTGGTTGTTTGTGCAAGAAAGATAGGGACGAGGGGCGGCGACGGGCTGAGGAAGGATGTGCGTTGCAACGGTTGAACGGGTAGCGACCCCCAGACTAACACGATGGGAAGCCGCCGGGCAAGGCCGTTAGCCTGTCTGTCTCCTGCGCGCTAAATTCCACTAATACTCGGTACAAAGGATTGGAAATGTCTAAAAAGATACGCTTTGCTTAATTCGCATCCCCACTGTGTAACCACAGTAGGTTGGCAGGGCCGATGGCAAGGCTCTGCGCAGAAATTGCTCGTAAAAAAAAAGGTTAGTTTTGACTATTTACCTAGGTATACGATACTTGTGTGGGGAGCCCACTTGAATGACGGCGACGAGCATGCTGACACGGATACAGACTGATGGTCACGAGTTTCCACGAAGGTGCCGATATATCATATATGACATGGCTGTATACGTAGAGCCTTTTATTATGAGCCAGTCATGTTTAAAATACATGAAGACGTCTAGACTGGCGCCTGGTGTGTACACGTCAACCATGTCTGCTGCGCAATGCGTGAATCATGAGTGTTGCAACTTGTGCTCCACTAAATTTCGGTATCGAAAAATTCATGATATCTTCAGAGCTATAATATAGCCATTCTCCCTTGTGCAAAGATGGCCCGCTTCAGTCAAGTATCCTGCGGGTATAGCGTTATATCGAGCGACATGTGCTCTAAAAACCAACCGCCTTTAATAATAATAATGCCGTGATCTTGATTTTTTTTTTTTTCGAGTGCTCGCGACTCGCGACTCAAGTGAGTTTTTTTCATAGAATTGCATAAGTTTGACTAAATACCGCCAGTCAGCCACAATCTGCCCCCGGTTAACAAAGTACCTTTTCCAACAGGCCTGTCTCGCACAGACGAAAAGAGCTCTACATCTACTTTTTTATGCCTTTTCTGAGTTACTGGCTTGTGTACAGGGGGATAGATGGTACTTTGTGCTGTGGCTCGCCGTATCCTGAGTCGCGAGTCGCCAGTACTTACAGACGCGTCATATTTCACAGAGATTGAATAGCCTACGCCCACTGTAAAGCCAGTCAGGAGACGTCAACACCACTATTCCATCATTGATTTTCTGTTCAAATATGCTCCTATCATAGATTTTCTTTTCTCTTCTCTTTCATCTTGAATTTCAAACTCGAGTTCCAGTGAATTATCGTCGTCTTGTTTACTCACTTGCACCTCAAGACAGTGCCAAGTACGAGGTACCTCTGCCCTATCAAATAGCCCCTTACCTAACCCCAAACCCCAGCCTTGCCTGAGACAGGGTCCGGGAACTCTGAGTCTCAAAAATCTCGCGTGCTCGAGTACCAAGAGAGGAGGGGTTAAAAAAAAAAGGAAGAAGGAGAGAAAGAAAGAAAGAAAGAAAGAAAGAGAGAGAAAGTCTCCTTCGTTTTGCCTCCGAGAGCTTTGCTACTTGAATTGCACATTTCAAGAGTCAAGCGTCAAGACTCCCCGTAAAGACACATCGCCACCTCGTCATACCGGCCCGCAGAAGCTGATGCTGACAAAGGCCACTTTTTTTCTTTTAGCGTCATGGTGCCGACACCATCAACTTGTACTAAACAATTATCCAACAAATTTTGTCCAAGACGCCAGCATTGTCGACCACGTGTGTCCCAATGCTGCCTACCTTGTATTTCCCTGTGCGCTCTTTCGGTCACGGAAATAGCCACTTCCCCACTCGAGCAACCCCTCCCCCACACATCGGTCAGTTATAAACTTACTTGCACAGCCGTTGCCAGCCGTTGCTCGTCTTAAATGCCCGAGAAATCGAGTGTAATTGGCGTCGTGTTATACAAATAACTTTTTTTTTCCCTATTATTTCCTATGCGCATTGCCCACCGCTGTCAGCTTCGGACCTGGCCCCCTGCAGCCTGAAGTCATTTTAAACTTTTTGACTTTTTAGACTTGATCCCACGACGTAGCAACCAATAATGAATGTTCTACTTTTTTTTTGTCGCACTAGCAGAACCACAAAGTACCATGCTAACCACTTGTTTGTGTTGCTGCGGATGTTGAAGCTGATTGGCCCCGAGACATACTCTCCATGAAGAGTCTGCATCTCTTTCCTTCTACCAACTTCCACCTACATTGTAGCAAAATTACGCCAGCCTTTTACAATTGCTCCGGCCAGACTGGTCGTTGACCTCCTCGTATTATTGTAGCTAGGGGTGTACTGGAGCAAAGGCTCAGGAAGCCTCAGAAACAAATCACGAAGCAACAGTGTACCCGAAATACGGTGCCAGTAACGACAGTCAAGAGGATATATATGGCTGACAGCGGGCGCAGTGCCAAAGGGAGGCCTTCTAGCTGTCGCCCCAGCATCATGCCCAATAGCAGCTGTTGGTCGCCTCATGACGCCGTCATGGACAACGATGAGCAAAGATCACGGCCTCCATATTCTGGGGACCTGGACCCAAACTGCCAGAATTATACTTTACATGACATAGTTGACTTGCTTTTTATTATTTTTGCAGACGTGGTCCTAAGGACAAGATCCAGAGCGTCACGGTAAAATTGCCAGAGCGGACACAGTGATGCTCTCCATCGACGGTAGTCGGCAAGCTACCTCTCCTAGTCGCCAACCAACAGAAAAAAGAAATATTGATAAGAAAACGAAACTAATAAAGCTCTCTAAAAAGTAGATATCCATTAATCTATTTATTCTTCTCTGTGTTCCTGACTTGCAGAGTAGAGTCACAGGGACGCATCACTCTCCTGAACAAAATCATCAACTCACTTTTTATACGCCCCTCGACGTCAATCGTCCCTTCTACACCATCTACAACTTCTCACTTCCATCAAACCCCAGCGCAGATATCTCTCGCTTTTAGACGCCATCATCACCACACTCACTACAAATACGCCAAACAGCCCAACACCTTCTCACCACCGCCGCCATCACGAGCTGCCGCCGCTCCCACCAAAAAAAATGGGTGACTCGAGTCTAATCATTTCAACTGACATATGACCAGACCGCACGGTGTTTTGCTCCAAATAACACAATTCTCGACGTTGCTCACATCGTAGAGATGGCGCCTGTCACCCGGCTTCGTGGCCCTGCACTTCACGCTGCGCAGAACCTTTCGAGTGCAGAGTCTCCTCAAATCGGTTCCACTCCTAAACAAGTCTGGGCTGCTTTCTTATTCTTCTTTCTTCTTTTTGGCTTTCTTTTTACAGCCCTGTTACTCCACCCACGTCTCGTCCGACCTTGAAGCGAGCCGAGCTTTGGCCCGCCAGAGTTACGGGAGGAGGCCAACACCAATGTACTCTGCGCCAGTTTACCGAATCACGCCTTTGTGTTGAACCACACAAGACCTCATTCACCTAATCAACGATAATCTAGTGAGCACACTATGTTGAAACTCGCGTGGATGATTGAGAAACAAGTGACAAAAACTGCTGCAGTGGAGAATCCAGCAGAGTCGAGAGACTGTTCTCTGGTGTGAGTGGCCCCTTCATCGTGGTGCTAGTTGCGGCTTGGTTTGTCCTTTTTTTTTTTTCTTTTTTTTTCTTCTTTTTTCTTTTCAGATTAAGCATGATTCGCTATTCTGTATTGTCTACTCCTCAAGTCCGTTTAATTTCATCTAGACGGTGTTCAGGAACCCGGTTCGCTGAACCACTGCTCAGGCGCCGGCAACGCCACCACGCCTCCTCTGGTCAATCAAACCCAAAAGCTCCGACTAGAACCGCCGAGCTGAGAAGCAAGGATAAATCCCACCTATTTCTATAAATGAATCATCAGCTGCCCCCAAGTCTTGAGACTATTCTCGCCAAAAAAAAAGCTATTCCGTATTCTCTTAATTACATTAGTTCTCTTTCTCTGGCTCGCTTGTTGGTCACTTGCCTCGAAAACCAAAACCCGCCTTTTCAATCATGTCTCAAGTCGTGCTGCCCGCACTCATCCCCGACATCCCGCGCATCTACCAAATCTACTTTGACGCCTTTCGCGCCGACAAGATGGGCGCGCTCATGCTGCAGATTCTCTTCCCCGGCGCCGGCGTCGTTGACCAAGAGTTCCTCAAGGCCCACGCCGCCGGCACCCTCAGCTACTGGCACCTCAGCGACTGCCAGTACACGCTCAAGGTCGTCGACACGGCCACGGGCGACATCATCGGCATGGGCCTCGGCGACGTCTACCTGCGGGAGCGCACCCTGCCCGAACGCGCCAACCACGGCGTGCCCTGGCTCGAGGGCGAGCAGAAAGTCCGTGCTGAAAAGGTGTTGAATCCCCTGTGGGAGGTACGGGAGAGACTGTTTGGTGGCCGTCGTTATATCTGTAAGTGTCAGTCTCTTCTCTTTTTTTTTTTNTTTTTTTTTTTTTTTTTACCTTTTCCCCTTCGGCCGAGGTTCCCCATTTATGATCACCGTATATAAAAGTCCAAAACAAAAGAACCAAGTCTCCGCCGCTAACATCAGCCAAACCCCCGTTTCGTTCCAGACTGCCATGTCATCGCCATCGACCCCCAGCACCAGGGCCGCAAGGCTGGCGCCCTCATTGTCCAGTGGGGCATTGACCTCGGCGAGCAGGCGGGCCTGCCCGTCTACTTTGAGTCGTCGCCGTCCACCGTCGGCTTGTACAAGAAGATGGGCTTCGAGGTGCTTGAGGAGCAGATTGTGCACGAGGCCGCGCTGCTCGGCACTGACGAGGACATTGTGGTGCCGCTCATGGTCAGGATGCCATCGTGCGCAAAGGGTATGAAGTTCAAAGAGTGGTGCGAGACGGGGTATCCAGAATTTGCGGTTGCAAATCAGCTGTAAAAACACTAAATGGCTGTCCAGATTTTTGTGTTAGCGTTCTAGTTAAGAGTGCGGTGGCGTTTTTGGTGGTGGCGGCCTTTTTATGACAAACGTTCGATTCCCACTTTGTAGGCCAGCTGCGTCGGTCTCAAGAGTTGACAAGAAGAAGTCTTTTAGTCACATGAAATTTTAGTCCTGTCGCGGGTGGTAAAGCTGCAAGTCAAACACAGCCCGTCGCGTTTTGTGCAGAAATAGACGTTAGACCCCTGCTCAGTCCAGGTTCAGCTGTGTTATCAGATCATCAGATAACGAGAGTGGACCCACCTAGGCTAATGCAAGCCGTTGACTACATATGTATGTATTGGAACGAAATATACCGGAATAGTGGATAATAACGTGGCGCTCCGTGCGGGTACCTTGATTGCTTGAGTGCTCGACCTTTTGCTGTGTGATTGCTTTGCCAGCCACAGCCAACCCACTTGGTATTCCTGTGAGACGCCTGCATTCGGGAACCGATCGGAGTCGGCAAATTGAGGGGTCAGGGTCAGGAGGCCAGAGGAGGCCAGCAGCTACCTATAGACCAGGGTCTTTTCGGCGCCTAACATCGGAAAATTATAGCAGAACCGTCAGCTCGGGCGCCCGGAAAGCTGCCAAGCTCCGGCTGAACAAAATACAACGCTCATGCCCTTACGTCTTTCCTCTCTTCTCCTCAAGACAACCAAGGGTTTTTTCTTTCTTTCTTTTTTTTTTCTTTTTTTTTCTTTTTTTTTCTGGCCCAAATCTCGACCAAAATGTTGAGCAAGATCCTCTTGTACGTCAAACTCACCGTCTTCTTCGCCCGCATGATGGCGGACGAAGTCCGACGGCTACTCCGTTTCCGCCGCGTTCGCAACCTGGCGAAAAAGACGGGCTCGACACCAGCCGCCGAGCGCACGCACAACATCGTCGTCATCGGCGCCTCCTTTTCCGGACACTACGCCGCGCGCATCATTGCGCGCTCGCTGCCGCCAGACAGCAAGCACAGGGTCGTCGTGGTTGAGCCCAACAGCCACTTTCAGTTTACGTGGGTGCTGCCGCGCTTCTGCGTCATCCCCGGCGGCCACGAGCACAAGGCATTTATCCCGTACGGCAAGTACGCCGATGCCGTGGACGGCGCGCTGCACTGGATCAAGGACCGCGCCGTCGGCATCACCGAGTCCGAGGTGCTGCTACAGAACGGCGGCGGCGGCGGCGGCGGCGAGGGCGTTCCGTACAGCTACCTGGTGATTGCCACGGGGGCGGCGGTGCAGAGCGGGCTGCCGTCTCGAGTAAATCATACGGAAAAGGCCGAGGGTATCAGGCTCCTGCAGGAGATGCAGCAGAGGATAGCACAGGCAGACACGGTCGTCGTCGTCGGTGGTGGCGCCGCGGGTGTCGAGGTGGCGGCGGACGCAAAGAGCCTATACCCAAACAAGCACATCATCCTCGTGCATTCGCGCACAGCAGTCATGCATCGTTTTGGGAAAGAGTTGCAGACGGCCGCCATGGAGGGGCTACAACGACTCGAAGTGGATGTGATTCTAGAAGATCGTGTTATTGAAGAAGATGACGCCAACGGCACAGTGACACTTAAGTCTGGTCGCAAAATAGACTGCAACTGTTTAGTAAGTCTCCAGCACAAGCTTCGGCTCCCCTCGTCTCTAACAGTGTGTTGTAGATCTATTGCACAGGTCAGAAGCCGAATTCGTCGATCCTCTCAACACTCTCGCCAACTTCCATCTCGTCTTCGGGCTACATCAAGGTCAAGCCCACTTTGCAGCTGATGGACGAGAGATTCCAAAATATTTACAGCTGCGGCGACGTGACCGACACCGACGTTCCGACGCCAAATGCCCGTTCTGCCATGCAGCAGTCCGTCGTGGCAGCCGAGAATATTCTGCTCGCTGTGCAGGGCCAGGCACCCCAGCACGAGTACCGACACGCCTGGCCGGAGAGCTTCATTACGTTGACTCTGGGATTGGTAAGCATTCAAACCAGATGGTGCGCAACGTCGAGTGCTAACGCAGCAGCAGGATCGCTCGGTCTTGCATTTGAGTGACGGCAAGTCTGACATCCTCTACCGAAGCAAAAAGAAGAGCGAGGCGCTCATGGCAGCTCAATGCTGGAAGTCGCTGGGCCAAGTGCCATTTGAGGACGACTACATGCAGAGCCAGAAACCGGAGAGCGCGCAGTAGACGAGGCATGTAGGATATAAACGCTTAGAGAGATTATATTATATTAGTGTAATTCCGACCCAGATTTACTCGGCGAGGGTAAAAGAGGTCGCCCAGACGTCCATTGTGCGTGTTTTGCGGCCACCGAGACCTGCGCACGAGGCAATGACAGCCTCACGCGAGGACAAAAGCGTTTCCTTGACGCGTGGAGTGTTGATACGCTTCTCCACCTCTTCGACGAAGCTCTTGCTGCGAACCTCGTCAGTCTCCCACACACCATCCAACAGACCGGCAGCGGGAACAATGTTGGACTCGTTGCCGGCTTTCCACCCAGAAGCTTCAGCAACGTCCTTGATACCAGCAGGACTCAACAGACAGCGGATATTGGCCGTGCTGGCAGGATTGTGCGCCTCGAGAGAGGCCCTGGCAATGGCAGAAAGCACATGAGGCTCCGCATCGCGCTCGGTAGCCCTCAGGGCGTATTCCGCAACAAGGATGGAGCCGACCCGGCCCTTGATGGCGCGGAGGATCGTAGATAAGACGTCGCGGCTGTCAAAGTACCAGATGCAGTGTGAAAAGACGGCATAGTCCCAGATTTTCTCGCCCGACGTGGCCAAAACGTCCGTCGGCTCGTCATTGTGCCAAGTGATGCGGCTGCCCAGAGCGCCGGCGCTGATGATGGCCTGTGCCTGGGAGAGGGTGTAAGGCGAGCCGTAGTCGGAGGGGGCGGGATCGACCGCATCGACGTGACCGTTGGGACCCACGGCGGTAGCCAAGACGGTGGTGCATGTACCCTGCCCGCAGCCAATCTCGAGAATCTTGGAGCCAGGCGGGATGCGCCAGGTGTTGATGAGCTGGATGCGATGCTCGACCTGGACCTTTTCGATCTGAACGGCCGTGTCATTGGGGGTAGGTGAGTAACGCGCAATGGTCTCGGCGCTGTCGAGCGGGATGGGAGTAAAGGGAGCCATGGCAATGAGGTAGCTTAGTTTGGGTGCTGCTGGGACTCAATTGTCAAGGCGGCTTGAGCCGGATTAATATAATCTGTGTGGTAGTGAAGCCGTTATGAGGTCGATATCGACTGAAATCTGACGATTCGGGACGCCAAGCACAGCCTACATCAATTGGTGCAATTTGATCCGCCAATTGGGCCTGGATATTGCGGTCCCGCCTCGTAAGAGGTTTGGTGGTTCGAGAAGTGAGTCACTGACAAATGAACGTCTGTCAGTGGATTGATTGGGGGATGTCAAGGGAGCCCCGCCAGGATATGGCACGGATCAAAGCCATTGGAGGAGCCGAGTCAATGGCAGCAGCCTGGTCGCATTCGGATGACTCTGTTTGTGAGTCAATTGACAAGTGCTTGATGACTCTTGTGAGACAATTGGCAAGTGCTCACGGGCGGTAATGTTTTTTCCCCGGCAATGGACAAAGGCTCGGTTCGAGCGGCACCAATGGCTCCTTGCTGAGCGCGCCGCTGTTTGTGTTGCCTGCTTGACTGCGTTAGCCAGGGCGCAAACCCAATTTGGCAACAGCAAATGGCGCGATGCCCGTATTCGGGAAGACGGGCAGCGGATTAAAAGGGGCCGAATCTGGCTGGTTCGTTGATGATGGAAGATGGCATGTTCGGATGGAACTTTGCGCCGGCGATTTGATGCGCCGGTTCAGGGCGTGGCTGGCTGGAGTGCAGGATCGAGGTTTTGCAGGGACCCGACTCCACTGAGGCGGCGGTCTGTAGCCGTTTACCAGTAGGTACGAAGCACAGCGTTCCTGGTTTTCATGGGCCAATGGAGACATGCTGAACTGCCACGAGTTCGTACGAATCAACTCGATACGCAGCGTTTAGTAAAACATGCCGTATATCTAGGCACGGTGGCGCGGCATTCATGGTAATTGTCGCGGTCGAATTCAAGTTGAAGAGGTGACCAAGGTAATTAGACGCGAAACTACAATACCGTTTTGTACTTGGACCCCAGCTCCGGCCGGTGTAGATCCCTGGGTAGGCGCTAACAAGATTACGGCCTTTTGCCCCGTTCAACACTGCAATTCACAGGTATAAGCTGCTAAGGTCCCTCGTCCATCTCGCAACCCGCCTTCTTGTCCTTCTTCAAGCTGCCAGTTATCCTTGCAGATTCCTTTCACGTCATGCGAGTGGCCCGGAGACGCTCCGGCTCTTTCCAGGCCTGCTACTCGTCCATCCACTTTGTCTCATTCTGCACACGCATACATGCACACATACATGTGCACATCCATACATGCAAAACTCCTTGGCCAAGTAATACTACTATTTCCTAATTCATATATATGCCGAGTTCCTTGTGTCGCACCCTCGCCGTACCAAAAAAAAACTGGCCTCGAATTCGCATCCTTTTTGCTTGCCGCCCTCGTCCTCGCCCTGCTTGAACGGTTCTTTTCCCCCCCTCCCGCGCGCGCCCTGGCCGTCCCGCATCCGCGCCGCCCGCCATGGCAGACGTCCAGGTGCACTGCGGCCCTTATGAATCCATCTCGGACACGGCTTCTCCGGGTCTGCTCTTCCTCCGCCGCTTACTGCCGGCGCTCGACTCGCTTGGGCCCTTTGACGCCCGCGACGGCCAGCGCCCGCCGCAACTCGTCCGCCTCCTCGCTCCCGACGCCACCTTTGTCATGAATGGTGGCCCGCCGCTCCCAGCCGTCGACGTTCTCCAAATGCTGCCCAAGCGCGCAGAACGCCTCGCCCGTTTCCGCCACGACGTCCGCATGGCCTGGGACGTTGCACCCCGCGGCGACGGCTACGGCGACGGCGCCGGCGCCGGGCGCCGCACCGTCATGTACGAGTCCACCAGCGTCTCCGTCTTCAAGGCCGACCCCGAGGCCGTCGAGGTTCGCGTCGCCGAGTTCAACGTCGTCGAGCTGGTCCTCGTCACGGACCCGGAAACGGGCGAGGCGTCGCTCAAGGCGCTTCAGCTGCGCGCCTTCTTGGACGGCGGCCCGGTGACGTCAAGGGCCCAGATGATTGCTGCAGGGGAGTAAAGTTCGAGATTACATTTGAACGGTTCTTTTCCTCCGCCAGACTGTGAACAAGACTTGGTGTAACGCTTGAGCTCTTGGAGCGCGTTTGTCTCACTACCCCGTGTCTCACTACCTCGTCGTCTGTTGTGTTCTGCTTCTTGTAGGGTACTGAACCATCCCGACGACGTTCACTTCAATCACAAGTGACAAACATTGCGAAAATGGGAGTTTTTCAAAATTTCTCTTCCCTCGGGAAGATACGATCATGGTACCAGCAATTCGATTTATTTCAGGCCATTGCTTTTACGCAGTTTATGAATCATGCAAGACATTTGTACCACTAGCTCTACTTAATCGACTGCTCTACTTAATTGACTGAATCGACTCAGTCGACTTAATCAACAGTCTACAGTTGTTCAAAGAAGCCCCCAAACTGTCCCTGCTTATCATGCAGATGAATCTCTAAAAATCCAGTGCCGCATGTACCCATCCTTTCCCACCCTCTGCATCGACGTCGTGTTGGCCTCGGCAATGTACAGCGGCCACTGGTCCTGCGCACCCTGAGCTTGCGCATGTCGCCGCCCAGCACGTACGTCCGCCCAAAGTCGGCCTCCTACTTTTCAAAAAAAAAAAAAACGGGCCTACGTCGACGACGACTTCCTCGTCGGCCTCGATGACGCGGTCCGATGGGTTGTCCTTGTATCGCCGCCAGCGTGTTGGGCCCGCTGCGGACGATGCGCTTGTGCTAACTAGTGCGCCGTCTCCAAGCCGTGACGTTCCTGGCCAAGCGCCGCAATCTCGGCGCTCAGCGTCTTGTCGCTGACGCCCGGCCGAATGAGAGTCTCTTCAATCTCCTCGAATAGGGCGACGGCCTTGATCTGCGCCTCCTTGAGATGCGCCGTGCGGTCGGCTTCGCTCAAGGACATGATGGTAATGGTGATGATGATGATGTCATGTGGGTAACTTGAGCGTTTGTGGAGAGTGTTATGAACGCGGGCCTAATTCACATCAGAAGGTGTGGATCCGCATTTTTACGACGACAAGTGTAGACCCACGGTTTTGTCGGTCCGACAAGTGGCATAATGTCAAGCAAACGCACCCTTTTGCTTTTCCCACCTTTTATCAGCAAGCTAAGCCGGGTGATATCGGCCCACTTCATCTCGCCTTCTGTACCTGGGCTCTAGTTAGAGACTGGGAAGATGTGCATTTGCGAAATAGCTCCCGCAATAAATCCCGAATAAGTCGTCCTGGCTACGTACACTCTTCAAAGTTCTACAATGCAGGTGATATGAAATCAAATATAGAGATGAGGAGGATTTTGAGAGGCTGTGATATTTTGTAGCCGGAAAACGGCACGATCGGGTCGGATGCTCTGGCTGCAGAGCCTTTTGACTCACTTACAAGACCCCCTCTAGCCACGCGGTCAACTAGGCTATTTCCATACATGAGCCTAGTTTCCGAAAGCTCAGGTAAAAACAAGTAAAAAAGTGGCAAACCTCGAACGTAAAGACGAAAGAAGAATGAAGGAATTATTTTCGTGGCTTTCTATTGTATGTACAAGTCTGATCATTGTGGACCATCTTTTTCTCTCTCTACTTCTTAGCCTTGCTGCTCTCTGTCGTCGTCGCATCCAGTCGATCGGTTCCGTCCTCATTGAACAGAGTTTCTTGCGCTATAGTGATCCGTTAGCTGGCTTTTTTTTTTCTTCCCTTTTCTTCTGTTCATTTTGCCTCGGTTTTTTGTGACTGGAGTATACAAAAAAAAAAAAAGAAAAAAACTCACCACTCCACAGCTCAGCGTAGACGCCAGCTCTATCAATCAGCTCCCGATGGGTGCCCATCTCGGCCACGCGGCCCTCCTTGAGCACGATAATCAGGTCCGAGTCGAAAATGGTGCGCAGCCTGTGGGCGACAAAGACGCTCGTGCGGGCCTTTTCGCGCAGGATGCCGTTGATGTTGACCATGAGGCCTTGCTCCGTGTGGGTGTCGAGCGCGCTGGTGGCCTCGTCAAAGAAGAGCAGCGGCGGGTCCTTGAGCAGCAGGCGGCTCACGGCCAGGCGCTGCTTCTCGCCGCCGGAAATCATGAGCCCGCGCTCGCCGACTTTGGTGTCGTAGCCGTCGGGGAAGCGCGCAATCGTGTCGTGGATGCGGGCGCGCTGCGCGGCGGCCACCACCTGCGCGCGCGTCGCGTCGACGGCGCCGTAGCGGATGTTGTGCTCGACCGTGTCGTTGAAGAGCGGCGTGTCCTGCGGGACGACGCCGATGGCGCGGCGCAGGGAGTCGACCTGGACGTCGCGAATGTCCTGGCCGTCAATGAGGATGCGGCCGGCCTGGACGTCGTAGGAGCGAAACAGCAGCCGCAGCAGCGTCGACTTGCCGCAGCCGCTGGGCCCGACAATGGCCACCTTTTTGCCGGCGGGGATGGTGAGGCTGAGGTCCTGCAGGATGGGCCGGTCCGGGTGGTAGCCAAAGCTGACATTCTCGAAGCGAATCTCGCCGCCCTTGGTCAGGGCCAGCTCCTGGGCGCCGGGCTTGTCGGTGATGCTGACGTTGACCTTTTGCAGGCTGAAGAGCGTCTCCATGTCGAGCAGCGACTGGCGCAGCTCGCGGTACACGGAGCCGAGAAAGTTGAGCGGCACGGAGAGCTGGAAGACGAGCTGGTTGACCATGACCAAGTCACCGACTGTTAGGCTGCCTTTGGCGACGCCGTCGGCGGCAAAGTACATCATTGCCGTCAGGGCGGACGAGAAGATGATGTTTTGGCCACTGTTGAGGAACGCCAGCGAAGTCGCGACCTTGATGGAGCTCTTTTCGTACTCTTTGAGCGCCTTGTCGTAGCGAGCCACCTCAAACTTTTCATTGTTGAAATACTTGACCGCCTCGTAGTTGATGAGCGAGTCGACCGCGACCGTAGACGCCTTGTTATCGGCTGCATTCGCCTGACGACGAAACTTTGTGCGCCAGGCCGTGGTCCAAATGGTAAAGGCCGTGTAGCCGACCATGGTCAGCGCCGTGACGGCGGCAAACTTGGCGCCGTACTGCCAGGTCAGGATGCCGCAGACCATGCTAATCTCGAGCGCCGTGGGCAGGATGTGAAAGACCATGCTCGTGAGCAGGAAGCTGATGCCCTTGGTGCCGCGGTCAATGGCGCGCGTCAGGCCGCCCGTCTGCTTGGACAGGTGAAAGGCGAGGTCGAGGCGCAGCAGGTGGCCAAAGACGTTGCGCGCGACGGAGCGAATGGCCTTTTGCGCGACCGACGCGAAGACGGCGTTGCGCAGCTCCTGAAAGACGGTCGCGCCGACGCGCGAGGCCCCGTAGCCGAGAATCATGGCGCCGGCGACCGTCGTGGCGGTGCCGCCGACGGCCGCCACGTCAATGTTCATCGAGTCGACGATGCTCTTGAAGTAAAACGGCACCTGCACGTTGAGCACCTTGGCGCCAATGAGCAGCGCCACGGCCAGGCTCACGCGCAGCTTGGTGCCCAGGTTGTCCTTGGGCCACAGGTACCGCGACATTTCCTTCATGATGGCCCAGTCGGCCTTGCGCTGCTCCGCGACCGTCTTGTCCGGCAGCAGGAGCGGGTCCTTGTTCTTTGCCGCCGTCGCCGTCGCCGTCGCCGTCGCTGGCTTTGTCGTGCTGGGAGCCGCAGTCTTGGGCGGAGGGGTTGCCTGCGGTCGTCGCGGTGCGGCCGTGGTTCGGAGAAGCCGCGTCGACGACGGCGAAGAGGCTGGGCGGCTCGGAGGCGGTGCCGTCCAGGGTGGGCGGGTGCGCGCCGACGCTATCCCGTAGCGGGAGCAGAGCATCGGCGCTCGTGATGCGAGGCGTGGAATCATTGCGGTTTGGGCATTTTCCGTATGGGGCGTCGGACAGGAACGGAGGGGTTTTGCTGGTGGAGGACAAAAAGGAGGAGGAGGGGAAAAAGGGCTGAGTGAGGTTTTGGAGCTCGGTCACCGGCGTACAGGCGGGCTGACGCTGACCAGTGGCGGAAGCCCTATTTGAATAGCAAAGCCAATCAAGTCTAACGTGATGGGAAAAAACGGCAAGAGAGCGAGATTGCAAAACAGGGTATCAAGGTACAGCTTTGGCGAGGCCTCGGGGGATGGAGGACAAAAGGGTCAAAGGTGAACGAGGTCAACAAGGTTGCCATTGTGTCGCTCGCTCGAGGCCGAGGGCGGCGGGCAAAAAAGGTGGAGGCTTGAGGGCGGCCAGGATGAAGTCGACAGGCGGATCATCAATGGTGTCATTGATGCGGCAATCTGCATAAATCAAAGATGCATTAATTTTGTGCAGAATCATGTCAGGTTTTTTTTTTGCCATGATTTTCATCGTCATCTCTTCTTACATTATTTGCTTCATCCACCTTGTTCCAACATGACTTGTCCCGCGCGCTTGCTGTCGCGTGCCTGCAATGGCCGCATACTGACTAGTTCAGCTTAAGTTGTTTGCCTCGACCACCTGGACGCGCCAACATTGATATCACAGCCCACGCTTACTCAGAAAAGAAATCGAGCACCTCGTCCCAACTAAAGCATCTCGTCCTAACTAAATGATTCCATACGTTAGTTTAAATTGACACCATGTCTGGAATCTCAAGCCGCGTGAAGAATGACCGTCTTGTCTCCTCGATCCCATGTCATGCAGCGGCCCTCTGCATTCTCAAGAGGCAGTTCTTCCGGCAATGATCAGCATGCATTTCACTTTTTTATTTTAACCTACTTCAGATCTTTGCAAACCTTGTCCACTCAGAGCTCATTCCGGCCGCAACACACATTCCCGGCCGTGGTGAAGCCGTTCGCTGCAAGCGGAAGGTGGCATTCCTCCCGGCGGTGCGCCCATTGAGACACTGTCTTATTCATCCCAAGTAACAAAAAATTTCCCACAGGACTTTTGTTGTCACAAAACATTCGAGGCATGCCGTGCATTTTGATGACGATTCCAAGATGGCCCAAACTAAACTATATAAGCCCAGAGCAGCGCCTGGTTCTCCCTGTTCCCCCTCTCCCAGAAACACATCACTCAATCACTATTTTTCCCAACACTCTTTTTCTCACCTATAACCAAAACCCCCACCTTCAACCCTCTTTTCTTTTTTCAAAATGAAGTTTGCCATCATTGCCGCTCTTGTCGGCTTTGCCCTCGCTGCCCCCGCGGGCGACGTCGCCAGCAAGCGCGACAGTATCGGCGGTGACCCCATTGGCGGTGACCCTACCGGCGGCGATGTCGTCAACGGTGTCCTCGGCAGCGGAGGCAGTGTCACTCCCGGCGCCATCAACAGCGGTGGCTTCCCTGGCGGCCTCGGCAACGCCGGTGACCATGTCGACACTACGGGCGGCAACTCGGGCGACAGCGTCAAGGAATCCGGCAACGTCGGCAGCCTTCTCGACAACGTGATCAAGGGCAGCCTAGACGATTAAATGCTTTCTTTCGGTTCTCACTGGTTGTTATTGTAAGCAACAATATATTCTTACAAGTGGTCCTAGCACTTGCTGACGTTTCTAGATGAGCCAAGACCCCGGCTTCCTTAATTAGGCGAGATACTGCATGGTCACTTGCCATCTTCGTATCAAGACACTAGAATATTTATACTATGGCGTTGAATATCTCAGAATCCAATAGCTTCTACTCCCCTAGGCTTTTGTATTGTAGCTCAAAATGTGACAAATTGTAGTTGATGCGTAATAACTCGGCCCAAGATATGCACACTGTTTCCGCATTAGGCCAATACGTATGTCGACTAAATCGCTTGCAACCCTCGTCTATGTCTATCGCTATCGGCTGCCAGTAAATCATGCAATTCATTGAAGATACTCTATCCAACTAAAACATCTCCCACCGACTTTCACGAATGGCTCCTCTTATACGCCGCCAGCTTTTCCTCATGCCTCTCATTCAGCCTCTCAATCTCCCTCCTCGCGCCCTCCCACGCTTTGCTCTTGCTACCCGGAAACAGCCTCCAGACCACCGACGTAAACACGCCCGCCTCAATCATTGCGTGCAGCCTCCTCTCACGCCACCAAAACGCCCACGATTCCCACCCGCACCAGCGTCCGACGCGTCTCTCCACGCCCATCCCGGCCGTCTCGTCCGCCCAGACGAGCCACGCGCGCATGTCCACCGTCGCCGGCACCACCGTGCCTCTGCGCGCCAGCCGCGCCACATACCCCTCCTGCGCGTCCATCCACGCCTCCATCGTCTCCGCAGGCGGTAGCCGCGAGCGCCCGCGCCACACCTGCGCGATGCACATGCTCGCCAGGTCCGCGACCGTCAGCGCGCCCGTCGCGAACCACGCGCAGCCGACAAATGCGAGCGAGTCGGGGCGGTCGAGCGAAAAGACGTTTTGGTAGAGCCGCGGGAGGGGCCGTCCGCGGGCGCCCGGCGCGGCGTCCCACGCGGCGGAGAGGTGCCGCGTCGGGTCGACGCGCGGCGAGAGGATGTCGTGATAGTTGTTTTGGTAGCCGACGCAGCAGACGACGACGTCGGCGTGGATGATGGCGCCGGAGACGAGCTCAATGGCCGAGGGGCCGACGAGGCGGCGGATGCCCGGGACCGAGAGGAGCGCGCCGCTGCGGAGGTGCGGGATGAGGGCGTCGTTGATGATGGGGTTGGTGACGGTGGCCGGGGGCGCGGGGAGGAGGCCCCACGCGGGGTCGAGGGCGCCAAAGACGGTGCTGGTCATGCGGTGCAGGACGAGGCCGCTGAGGAGGTCGCGCAGGCGCGGGAAGAGACGGTCGATGAAGCTTTGCAGACGGATGAGACGGTGGGTGAGCACGCTGGTCGCGGGTACGCCTTTGAGGTCGCGAGGCAGCTGGGACAAAGCTGTTAGGAGAAGTAATGTGATGAATGAAATGAACTTCGAATCGGGAGCAGTCACATACGACGTGTGCGCCTCTGTTATGGGACAGGTAGACTTTTGAGGCGACTCCCACCAGCTCATTCGCAATGTCGGCGCTGGTGTTGCCCATGCCCAAAACCACGACCCTTTTACCCGCATAATCGGATGCTCTAAAAAGGAATCCCATCCCATCAGCATATTCAAGACGTGTCAAGTGCCCGATGCACGTTGCAGCAAAAGAGTAAACTCACCTCTTGAACCGCTGCGAGTGCATCACCTCGCCCTCGAATACCTCTTGACCCTCGAGCCTAAAGGGCGTCGCCTTGACGTGCGGCCCCGTCGCCATGACCACCTTGTCAAAGTTCTGCGACGGCGCGCCGGCAATGTCGATCCTCCACCGGCCCGTCTCCTCGCTCTCGGAAATGTGCGTGACGGTGGTGTTGAGTCTAAAGTGCGGCGCGAGGCAAAAGTGCTCGACGTACGACTCAATGTACTTTTGTACCTCGCCTGCGGAACAGTGCGTCGGGGTATCTGGAGAGCCATATTTTAGTAGATGTCTTGCGCGTAAAGGGTTTCATGTAGACACACACCTTCTGGGAAGGGAAAGTCGGTATAGCACATCTGCAATAGTGTGTTAGGGCTGGCGACAGGGTGCAAAAGCCAAGTGACTTGCTCGTTCAATGGGTATGTTGGCTTGTGTGGCTATCACACAGTCAGTTACTTTGGTCCTCATTCTGTCACGTTATCCAAGGAAGTCGGCTTACATTCAAGGATACTTAGAGTCTCCTTGTCCTCGGTAAAGTGCCAGAGACCACCATAGTATGGGCTCTTGTCAAAGCCAGTGACCTCGAACCCCTCTTCGATCAAATTCTTGACAGCTGCTATGCCCATCCCGCCTATTACACAACACATCAAGTGGAAAAAATAAATCAGTCCTTGTCCTTTTCTTCTCTTCCTGGCCGAAATCCAGGCTAAAACACCGGACCCCCGAATCGTCTTCTTCAGGACGGGGTAACTTACCGAGGCCGACAACCGCCACGGTCGTCTTTTCCTGCACCTCTTCCATGGTCTTGCTTTCCTGATGCCCCAGACTTTAATACCACGCGCTCTTTGGCTCGGTTGACGGCATCGAAAACGCCTCAATCAGCTGGTGGTGACGGGGTAGAGATGCCCTGCATGCTAGCCCCAGATGCACGGGCATGCAGCAACTTCAAAGGGGTTACAGGGGGTCCACGTGCTGACTACCTAGTTGCCTAGGTACCTATGGTGCTGTTGTCTACACCCACTCAACACTGCAGGTCGGGGGCAGCATTACTTCGCGCTCACTTACACAAGACGTTGGTCTCATCATAGCAGCACCATTGTATAGATAACACAATCGACGGGGAATATTCATATATGTTTCCGTGCAATATTCATAAAATCCAGCCTTTACCGCCACCGATTCCGCCAAGTGTGGCTTGCAATCCAAACATGATGTTATCCTAATCAAGCAATCAAAGTATCGGCACTATTTGTATCCTTCAAGGTTTTGCAACAAGCCCCAAAAAACGAATCCAACCCCTCATCCGGCGAGCAGCAAGTCCAGTACAAGTAAAAAACACAATTGCCAAGCTCAAATAGTATGAAAAAAAACGCCCCATTAGCAGGCCCAAGGTGATCATACCGACACATAAAGTCAGTCCACTCCCAAAAGACAAACCGGCCAGGAAAACTGTGGGATTAGCCTGCGCAGTCCAAAGTACCACCAATCACTCAGTCCACACGAGCCGGAACATCCTCCATGTCGTCCATGTCCGACGACGGCGCCGTATCGGCCCTGCTATCCTTAAACTTGGTCGGCGTCTTGCGCTTGCGGTGACTGCTTTCATCTATGTCGTCGCCGTCGGCCTCTTCCGCATCAGCAACGATATCGGCAGACTCTTCAATCGGTTCAACCCGTCTCTTAGGTTTCCGAGCTAAAGGTCGCTTGCCATTCTGGGTTCTTCTCGCCGGGGTAGCCTTTTGTGCAGACTGCGGCACCTCGGCGAGCGCATCCAAGGCAGGATCGATCTGTATTTCCTGAATTTCATCCGCAAGTTCGTCTTCGTCACCTCGCATGTCTTCCTGAGTGAGCTTCTCCTTGCTGACGCCTTGCCGGAATTCCTTGTTTCTGGATGAGATTTGGGAGATGAGCGTCATCTCTTCTTCGTCGTCCCAGCCCCCGCCAGAAATGTCGGGCAAGCCTCCCTCCTGGCTGTACTTGTCCGCAAGATACTGAGCACAGTCTCGCGCTGTCATCATCTGTGAACCCGGAACAGACTTGACCAGGCGGTTCCAAACGAGCTCTTGCGTGGAGCGATGCCACGTATTGCGGAATTTTTTGTCACATAGCTTCTGCCATGGAATCCTTGCAGCAGTAGAAGCCGACACGGACTTGATAGCAAGCACCATACGAAACTTTTCGGTATCGGGCATATTCTCAAGTTGACGACGGGCCTTCTCAAGTCGGAAAGAAATGCTAGAGTCGGGGTCGGCCGAAGCGAGTTTATCCTGGGCATTGATTCGCAGATTCATGGCCTTCCACTTGGTTATGCACTGTAAGCGACTTCTCGTACGCTCCATCTGCACACTGATTGATTGCCAGTCGATGAGTTCCTCATACGACTTCCCACGCAACTCCTCCTCTTTGACAGGGTCAGTTGCGCGCACATCATCAACTAGCTTCATGGACTCTTGGACGAAGCGCGTCAAGCGTGCCTCCTCGTCCTCGGTCCAGGCTTCCCTTTTCTGTGCGCCGGCACAAATAAGGTAGTTTCGATAACGATCGCGAATGTCCTCGGGATGGCGGTTGATAAGACCTGCAATGTAGGACCATTTTTTGCCATGCAAATTAATGAGCCCAGACAGTTCAATGTCCTGCTCCCATGTCCAAGTGCCTCGCGCGACGAAATTGTGAAACTTTTTCCGGCAAACATTGATTACTTTTTGTCGGCGGCGATCGGGGCATTCGGCAAAGATGCGAAGCCAGAGCTGAGCATGTGCTTCTCCCGCGCTGGTTCCGCCAGGTTTTTGAATCATCTGCAAATTGTCAATATACAGTGGAAACGTGGTGTGAGAGAGGGACATACATCGTTGACATCGCTCTGCTCCAGATTGTTTTCGACTCTGAAGCTTTCAATAGCGTGAGCAACACGGGACAGTTCCTCCTCGCTGAATTTTCCCTCTGTGTAGCTCGCTCGAGGAGCCTCATCACTATAGAGATCAGCCTCCCGGCCAGCTTTGCGTTGGCGTCTAGGGCCCTTTTTAGAGGTTGCCTTCTTTGTGCGCCGAGGCTTGGGCGTCATGGCCGAAGGTGAGGGTAGTTGTTCAAAGGCCTTAAGTGAGGCGTACGTGAAGGGTTGATCGAAGTAAGTTGGCTTCGACTTCTTGCGTGTGGAGAGTGGACGTCGTGGGGTCGATGTAACTTCGTCCGCTGGTGCTTCGGCTGCTGCTTCAAATGTCGCATTCGTTGGCACCTCTGCCTGCGTCTCTGCTTGTACCTCTGCCCCAATTGAAGCAGCATCCGTCATTTCGGCATCTGGCTGCTGGGAGGCCTGTGTGTTGATGTGTTCTTGCCACGCCTGCCGGGCCATAGCTGCCACGTCGCGCTCCATCTCGGCGGCCTCGACGTCATCCGCGTCCGCAAGATTGCTCGACAGGCCCTTACGGTGCGAGCGCGCTGCGGTGGGCGAGCTTGGGACTTCTGGCTGGGCCTGCTCCTCGGCGATCATGTCAATGGCGGCGTGCGCCTTGCGCTTCTTCCTCTCCTTGCCGTCCGACGAGTCAGAGTTCTTGCGCTTCTTCTTGGACAGCGAGGCAGGCGTCACGTCGGCGCGCTCCTCGGCGTCATCGTGGCCATTGATCGAGCTCGAGTGCCTGCTTGCGCGTTTCTGCGACTTGGATGCGCTGCTGAGCTCATTTCTGTCCCTTTTCTTATCGCGTCGCTTCTTCTTGGAGGATGTGGGCTCGACGGCCTGCGACGACGGTATAGTGGCGGCGTTGCTGTCAAACACCTCCAATGCGCCAAAGTCGACTTCCACATCGCTGGCCCCATCGTCGTTGGGAAGAGGCGGCAGCTCTTGCGACGCCATCGCCATCGTGTCGTCGTCTCGGTCTATCTGCTCGGCCTCGCGCTGGCGACGCGCGCGGTGCTTGTCCTTCTTGGTGCTGACGTCGGCTTTGGCGGGCGATGATTGCGTTCGCACAAGGGAAAGAAGGCTAGATGCGATACCACGCGAATCAACCCATCTACTGGTGGAAGACATGGAAAAAAAAAAAAAAAAAGAGACGAAGGAAGCAAGGATTACAGGTGGATAACGGTTGCTCCAGGTTAGCTGAGGCGCTGAGGGAGGAGCAAAATGGATGCACCAGAAAATTGAGGCGCGTTGCTCAGTGGTCGGGCGATCTGGTTGGCTGGGAAGCTGCTCGTGCAGGGTAGGCTGAAAATGAAGTGGGCGCTAGTGTGATTGCCTGAAAATTTAGGCAGAAAGGGAGAGTGCCCAATGAATAAATGCTCCCAGCAATGATTGAAAGGGACGGTGAATGATGGAGAACGAGCTTGAACTAATTTCAGCAGTAAAAAACTGGCATTAAATACTGTCTATATATTCTATAATGATGCTTCTGTACGACCAGAAAATTTTTCTCATCAGATGTGACCATGAACGCCTCCATATTGATGTTTTATGGTGTGGCGCCGACCAGCCTCCTGTATTGTACAACTCCACATTGCCGTTACACTGACATCGTATCGTATCGTGCAGCGCAAATGCACTTGACCACCTAATAACAAAGGAAACCGACTGCCTAGTCACTTCGTCGTGAGATCCAAAATCGTTCTATACCCAAAAATGGTGCAAAAAAGACGCCTGCTCGCTGAACGCTTACTCGTCCTTGTTTTCAGCCTCCTTTATCCTCACCGTGATTCCCTTGCGGCCCGCCTCAATCTCGTAGTGCCCGCCGAGAACAAGATCCTTGGCCACCAGTTCGCGCGTCCTGCCCAGGCTCTCAATGTCGGCGATGCGCTGTATGGTCAGTTCCAGATGCTTGTCAAAGCCCGGCTGGCTGCAAATCTCTTGAAACGCGCGGTGCATGGGGACACTGCTGGCTCGCACGTCGGCCTTGCTCGTGATGCTAAACAGATTGAGGCTGTCGAGCTTGCGGATAAAGTCGCAGCGCGTCATGAGTTCCTGTGCAATGTGGAACGGGTACGAAGGCAGCAAATGGCCTACGACGGGGTCGTATATCAGTTCCATGTCCTTTTCCTTGGCCACCAATGCCTGCGCGAGAACCATGGCGGCAGCCTATTTTCCAGTCAGCTCTGTAGTCTTGATTTATGAGACGGCGCATCTATACTTACCGCCCATTTCTGCTGGTCCATGACATCGTCGTCCATTTCCATGCCCAGTATCCAGCACTGGTTCAGGAACCACTTCTTCTCAATGTCCTGTATGCTTTCGCATGTTGCTAGCATGTCCTTGCTCTTTGCGACCTTGTTCAGGAAACTCAAGCGTCCACCGACGCGGTCATAGACCTGCTCGAGACGCTCCATGTCGAGCGACTCTCCCCAGTAACGCTGGCGATACTTTTTCAGAGCATCGACAGCTTGCGCCTTGGGCAGGTCGGTGATGGGGAGGACCTCCATGCGCGTGGCGAGTTGCTTGAGGCGCTCGTAGACCCAATAGTCGTCCGAATTGAAGACCATGGTGACGAGATTGGTGGCGGCCCACTGCTCGGCGCGTTGCTGCAGCAGCTCGATGAGGTCGCGGCCGTCATCATCGTCGCGCAGCAAATGCATCTGATTGACAATAAGAATCAGCGGCTTCTTACGCTTCTCGATTAGCTTCATGGCGACCTTTTCGAGCTTGTTGAGGGCGCGCTCAATATCGAGCAGGGCGGTGGACTCGCGCGGGCCGCGCTCGCTAAAGTAGCCGCCAATGTAGTCCTCATGGTACTCGTAGTTGAGAGCCTTGCCGAGACGCAGACGGACGACCTCGAGATCGGCGTGGGCCTCAAACATGGAAACGCCGTCGCCGTCAATCTTGCGCATGGCTTCGAGCAGCATGCTGCTCTTGCCGGTGCCCTTGTCGCCAATCATGAGAAAGTAGTGGCCGACGTCGCGCCCGTCGACAATGGCATCGACAATGGTCTGCTCATCGCGGTGCACCCAGCGCTCCTCGCTCGTCTCGCGATGGGACGGCATGTCTTTGGCGACGGCGGCCAGATCGAGGACCGGGTCGCCGGGCTCAAAGGCGCGGACCATTTTGTTGACGACGAGCATCTTGTAGGACCTGTGGTAAATGTAGCCCGCAGCAGCGAAGCCGAGTCCCAGCACGAGAATCGATGCAAAAGTCGTGGCAGCAGATTCCGCCATTTTGGAGGCTACAGAAGGCTCCCTTTGACCCTTGTCATTGCCAGCATTCGGGTTGGCACCCGAAGCCGTCTCAGGCTTACTCTCTGCATTAGGTGCATTAGCATAGTGTGGGTGTATGACGGCAGGTGATTGCAAGAATTTCTGCAATTGACTTGATTGAATCCTTCCTCAACGCTCATGACATACCATTTCGCCTCAGACTCTGCGTCGAAAAGGCGCAACCTGTTGGTGACCAAGCTGGAGGCCTCGCCAAACGCCTGACCACCAAGCGTGGCGCGGCCCCAGCCACGAGCCTGGGTGCGATCATGACAACGATGACAATGCTGCCAATGCCTCATGTGACGGCCACAGTTGGTACGCCGTGTTTTTGACTGTCGATGTTGCAACGAATTACCAGAAACGCTTGCAGGGAGAGTTGCTTTTGCAAGAGACGGATTGCCATATTGGTCTGTGCGAGCGGATGCGGTTGCAAGCTGGGTAACCAACTTACGTGGCGGGAACTGGAAACACGGTTCGTGGTAGCGCGATTAGCGGGATACTCGTCTCCCTTCAGGGGATTCGCAGTGCTTGATAACGCGCGCTGAAAGGGACACAACCCACTGTAATCCACTGTAATCCACTAAAAACCGGCAACCTCAAGTTACTGCCGAGACTACCTTTGCCCCAACGACAAAGAATGAGACGTCGCTCTTGCAACAACTGAACGATCTCTTGAAGATGATTATGTCCCTCTCTTATTCTGTTGAAACTCTTCTCCAGCCAGTCTCCTTGCCTTTTCGTGAACGATTCTCATTTACAGCTACCGCGACTTTATTTTCCTGCATCCGCCCCCTAGCATCCCTGCAGCACTTCATCTTGTCCCCTGACTAGCGCCCAACCTTAATTTCATCACCTTCATCACCAACTCCCCTCACCAACAGGATAGATTGCTCAAGATTTTATCAACGTCATCTACATGTGCCTTTTTACCGTCTTTGAATTTCAAGCTTTGATTCTATCTACACTAGCATTCTATCCGTGCTGCTTCCACATTCCCCAATATGGATACAGCCGTGTTACTGCCCTGCCCAGGCCGTGAATCACTCACTTTTCACCTTGCACCTCACCTTGCAGAATGAGCCAACTGTGATGTAACACTGCCCCTCACCCGCTGCCAACTCCGAGTACATTCTGTTCTTGCACACTGTGCGATGCGACAAATCATGCAAGATATAGTCATCGAGACTGATTCCTCATGCTTTAAAACGCTTGCGCATGGGAATCCCAAAAAAAAGACCACGCAACTGGCCTTCAAGTGGTGTATATTGCAACACGCGCTTTTTATACCTTTCTCAAATTATACTCCATGAGCCACTACCTTATCTCGCTACAGCTTTGGTAGATTTTCCAATGCTTCCCTGTGCCCTCGAAGTCGAAGAACGCTGGCTGCGCCAAGAAATCGGCCAGCTGCAGCAATTGCTCCGAACCGACAACCTGACTTGCTCCAAACGCCACTGCGAGTTCAACAAGGTCATCCAGAGCCGGCTACGTGCTTTTGACCACGACGAGTCTCTCCACGCGGCATTACTTCAAGGCCCGCCCCTAAAATGGGCAAACAGCGCCGGTCTCTACAGTATCAACCCCCGCAAGGCGATTCTCGCCGCCACACGCGTCGTCTTCAAAGACGCTGTCCGCGGCGGCGGCATCGATCACAGCTTCTCCATGCACGGCATTGTGTCGCTGGACCAGCTGGAGAAGCACCGCCTCGTTCTAGTCAGCACCGTCAGGCGTGAAATGGCGGCGGCCATGATGGACATGGCGCAGCTGTCACTTCTCCACGAGCTACACAATGCCGCCACTCTTCATTATGGCCTGTTTCACATGGGCTTTCGTGCAGCTGTAAGGTATCTTCCCGAGTGCAAACACACTTCCTTCATGCTCATGTCTTGACTCAGATCTTAATCCATGGCCTCGATCCCAGACTACAAACGCCAGAGGAACAAATTATGGCAAAGCTCAACGCTCTTTTTCCACCCATTGCCGCCGCAAAACTAGACTCGGCAGCACCACTGGCTCCCTACTCTGACGGCTTGCGTGAAAGCATTCGTTTTTCTGTCTACGAACATTTAATGCGAGGCAACGCCACCGACATGACCGAATGGCGGGCGTTGCAGACCCGGCTCTACTCCTGGTGCAATATGCCCGGCTACGCTGAAGCCAGGGGTGCTCTCCTCCGCTACACGGAAGAATTTAAAAAGATCGAAGTGCTCTGCCTTTCCACCCTTCACTCGCTTGAGAGCCGGAGACGCAGCCTCTACGTCCCCGAGTCCCCCGCCGACACCTCGTTCCTGACGAGCTCGTCACGATCCAGCGCCGCCCCATCCCCATGCTCTTCCTTTATCGGCAGCGACAAGTCCGCCGACTTTGAGCCGGGCCTCCAAGACTCCCGCCATTCTTTCGCATCGGGCCCGTCGCTGTCCTCGGCGAGCCGGCACGCCGCGCAGAACGCGCCGCTGCTCCGCGGCATGCCTGGGCGCGAAATCTCGGCCGCCAAGACGGACGGCGCGGCATTTGCAGGCGACCTCGACGCACCGCCCATTCTCACGTATCCGCACGACCTATCGCGGCACGAGTTTGACCAGCACCCGCTCGCCCGACACCTGGAAATGTCGCCCCGCGAAAAGATGCAGCTTGGCCTCATCATCCCTCGGCAGCTCTCGAGTCGCGATTTCTAGTACAGTTTCGACTCAGAAGACGACGTTGAGGAAGAGCCCGTCGAAATACCAAAGCTCGTCAAGGACAAGGGCAAAAGACGCCGGTTCGGCCGAAAGGGCTCCGACACGCAAGTACCGCCCGTACCGCCTCTGCCTTCCATCCCCGAAGCCCTGTATTCCAACCACACGCCAGGCAACTTTGGCAGATTCGTCAGGCGGATGCGATCAAAGTCGGGTTTGGCAACGCGAGACGCTTCGAGTCTCGATACTGCAGCGCCATCAGCGTCCGCCGCGGCAGAGCTGTCCAAGACTCCCCGAAAGCTCAAGAAGCCCTTGCGACGGAGCGCACGATCCGTCATCTCCAGCCCGGAGCTGCAGCCGAGCCACGACGCCCCGCCGTTGTTTGACTTGGCCAGCAGCGATCTGACGTATCTCGTCCCGTCCCAGAGCGCACCCGCCAGCAGACGACAGAGCATCGTCAGCCCCTGCGAGACTCCCCACCCTAGGTCAGAGGACGTTGAAGACGGCCCCGTGCTGTGGAGAGTTGCGCCACCGCGACTGTCACCCATGGAGTTTGCGAGGATCCGTCTCATACAAGCCGCTCTGGAAAGGCGCGACAATGACTTGATATCGTCTGGCTTGACGAAGCTGTGGTTTTGGACTCCGCGGTGGGAAACCTTCCTCGTGCTCCCGTGCAAGCAAACCTCTTCAACCATCACTCCTGCTCAGCCCGATATGCATGAGAAGACATCGGTTCCTAACTTGGGGATGAGTTCAGAACTGGATTCTATGCCCGTACCCGATGGACTGGTGCAAGCTGGGCCTGATCGAAGGAGCTTCTTGTCCTGCCCACGGCTGTCACTGAATCTCGGCAACATTGCCCTTCAGCTCCCATCCATGCTGAACCTGATGACCTTGGATGGTATCCATCCCTTAAGATCATTGTCCAGCTCTACAAGGTCAGGATCACCACCAGAAGCGGAGGATACTGGATGTGCGGCAAGACGGTTCAGCGTTTACGCGGAGCGGACGGAGCCTGTGTCCATCTCGAACACTTTCACACTCGATTCGCAAACGCAAAGGACAGATCAAGGTATGCAACCTTTTTCAACGCCACCCACAAAACTTGAGGAATACCTCTTACATCCCTCGCTAGGGTTCTTTCCGTTGCCTGCTGGCAACGGAATCAATCGATTCAGCCGCCAAGATGTTAGCACCCACACGACACGACAGATTGCCACCCAACACCCTTTCCAAGACACTGCAATCTACAATCGATCAGCAACTCCCGAAGCTGGACCGTGGGGTTTGCGCGGCCATACGTCTGCAGCAGGGTCGTGCAACGGTCGCGACGGCTCCAACGTCACCGTTCCGACAAGAACCGGTCTCACCCGGCCCCCCAGAAGCATGGCAGTCGCAACACGGCTGCACCAGCACCTCGACTACCAGCACCAGCACGTGGTCGGGGGCGAGATTGTGACCCCCGTCGCGGCCCGCAAGGTCGGAAAGCTTGTTGCGGGCGCCTCCGTCGTGAGCATGCACGCCGCCCACTCCGAGGACTTTGCGCGGCCCGACGTCGCCGACGAGGAGCGCGCGCTGCGGCCGCCGCCTCTGCACGTCGTGCGGCAACGACCCCATGCCGCTGGTGGCCGTGGACTGCGCGAGCGGGACACGACGCGGCGGAACCTCTTCCGCAGCAGCAACGACGACAATGACAATGACCTGCGCGGCTTGCTGCGGCATCTTGGTGACGCGCGCGAGACGCGGCCCGCACCGTGGTCGCCTCTGCGGTATCCCGGCGGCGGCGGCGGCAGCAGCAGCAGCGATAGCCAGCCGGTGACGCCGGAGACGCGCCGCCAGAGCTCGGTGTTGAGCCACTTGTCGATTACCCCGACGGCGCTGCGTCTAGGGCTGGCAATGCGTGGCCGCGACGAGGAGAGCGAGGAGGAGCATTCAGGGCTTAGTCCCCGGCAGCGCAAGGTCGCGGCGACGCACCAGCCGGTGCCAGACTCGCCTACGCTGCCGGTTGTTGGGCCGCAGGTCAAAATGAGACGGTCTTCGCGGCGGGCATCGCACGGCTCGTTGTGATGAGTATGACGTACCTAAAGAGGGAGATTTGTCCATCACGTTGTAATGACAAAGGAGAATGACGATGGAGAGTAAAGCATACGGCACCAGGAGGAACGGGGGCTGAACTCACCAGCAAAGCTTTTCATCTTCAGCCAGTCTCTTTTCAATATGCCACAGTGGCAAGGTCTTCCGATCTTGTCAACTACTCTTGTCCAAGCATCGACTACATGCTAGATTACTGAAAACGTATGCTGATACAGTGTAATGTCTCTTTTGCAACAACATGCAAGTAGTCGACAATGTCAACTTGCAAGAGGTCAACGGAACCAATGCCATCATTGGAGCTCAATCACAAAACTCGCTCTGACCATAGCCAGCTGTGCCGGCTTGTTGGGGCAGGCCAACACCGGGCACAACTCGGCCCCTCGAATTTTTTTTTCTCCAAAGAAGGGGCAGCCAGTTGCCCAATTTCAGAAGCCAGTATTATGCGCCGGTATGACGCCCAATGCCCGAGCTGAGTGTAGGCAGATGCTCCTTGGCCTCGCAAGAGTCTTGGCAAGCAAACCAATCAACGCGACGAAAATTGCATCACTCAACTGAATGTAATCAGATGATAGCTTGTGCATGGCCCACCAGCCTTGGCACGTTCAAGAAAGTGCATCCGATCAAGAGCTCGGCACATTGTCGTCCGCTTTTGCCAACACCGCCGCCGCGACTCCCTCTGCACGACGGCTTGCGCAAGTCAGCAAACCTTGATTATCAATCTACGCCCTCGGATTGCTTAGATCCTAAACTAAACCCCACATTTCGCATCATCCGCCGTGATGTTTTTCGGAAGAGCGTTCCCGAGGGAATGGGGAGTTGGGGAATCATTTGCGAAAGCCGTTTGACAGCCCTCAATGCAAAGTCACACGGTATCTCCGTCGCAAATAGCACAACTCGCGTGATAATTATGCCCCCCTCCCTCCCTCTTTCCCCCTCCCCCGCGCCACTGCCATCATGAAGGGCACCTGGAAGCGAAAGAGCTGAAGTTTGAATAGCCACGTCGGCGGGCGCAGACAAGGATGGCCTCATGAGCGACTGAATGCCTAAAATTAGATAATGACAAATGGCGACAGCCCAGCCCACACCGCGCCCCGGGCAGGCGGGACAGCGCAGATGGGTTGGCTTGCATCCCGAAGCAACAAGGGGGGGCGCAGAATCCCGAGAGGGTGGTTGAGGCCCGCATGTGGCGGCGCCGCGCACACTCCTGCATACAGGGCAGAGCAAGGTAGCAGCGTCAGGACAGGGACAAGGGATGGTCCGGATTCTCGACGAGCCTGTTCCTACGAAATTCCAGCTGTCTGGATGTGCGGGCGCGGGCGACTGCAGCCGCAACCGCATGATCAACAACCACCAACTCCCTGAAAACCTAGTGACATCAGTGGAGACAGCCCGGCTTATCCCAGCATGCCTGGCTTCCCGCCACAGCTGACAGCCTTGTGAGTTACATCGCGTCCTGATGACCTGCTGTTGGAGGTGCTGGAGGGCGGCTGGGGGCAGAGAGCGGCGCCGACGGTCGCGTTGGCGGAGCTTCTTTTGGCATATTTCTTGACTGCCATATCAAATCGAGAAGTAATATTCACAAATCGGTGCAGGAGGGCCGTCCCAGCAGTATTAGTTTCAGAGGGTGTGAAAGGAAAGAGAATGTGGATAAAAGGTAATAATAATAATAATAATAATAATAATAACAATAACAGCTCACTTACTTCAGACTTCTACTGTGCTAAGTGGCGTTTGAGATCAGTTGGCCACCAGCCAACTTCTCCTCGGTTTTACGCGAATTGATTTGGTAAGGCGACGAAAAAAATACCCGGGCCGCATAGGATATTGCTCGTAGTCTCGTAGAGTGCATGCAGGTGAGACCGCCGTTTCAAGCGACACATGGCGGCGCATGTGGTGTCGTTCATTCCGAGGGCCTGGAATCTGCGGAGTTGAGGGTTATTGAGAAAGCACGAGGGCCGACTTGCATAACCGTGATTTAAGATGCAGCGAAATGAAATTAGCGGCAAGAAGTTTCTTCTGCTACACTGGTCTGTGAGGCAGATCGGCGCGGCGGACCTTGTCGACAGGCAGATGCCCGTCGCGTCGAGCAGGCCTCGCGCCAACAGCTTGGGTTTCTACCAGCCCTTTCACACAGCAGCATGTAATTAGATCACTCACAACTGAAAAGTTCTTTGTTTCTTCAGAGACAAGCCGAAAGGGGAGAGCCCGAACCCACTTTGAGGCGGGCCGTGGAGAGGGGAATGTGTGATCGACGGGTCGCCCCATTGATTGAAAACGGGCATTGGAATTCCTAAATATTACCAGGGCGTAGTTAGTAGACCCCACGCCACGCTCACTGATACAAGCACTGACATGGCAGCCAGAAGCGATGGAGCTTTGGAGAGATTGGGGGCCGGCCCGGGCCGTGGGCCACTCCTGTCGCTTGTATAATTGACGACTTTTGAGCGACACGAGGACAATTTCCTTGTGATTGATGTGCACTCGTGCAACCCGCGCAGCGATCGACGTTGTATTGTTTTTGAATGAAATATTAGGCCCGAGATATTGCGCGGCCAAGTTGATGGTCCCTTGTCCTCGAATCAATAAAGCGCCCACTTCGTGACAGCTCATTGCTCAGGGGGCTAAGACATAGCGAGCTACCAGTATTGACCAGGACCGTTGAAAATGACAGGCCGGCAATTTGAACTAGCCTTTTGTTGACAATGTCAGAGACTCGTAGCGAGCTTTGGCGTCGTCTTGCGCTGGCTGGGAGTGCTGCTACAAGTTGGCTGTATAAGCTGTACGTAACATAAAACATCGCTGCATGATGTATTCAAGCTTTTCAATTTCGGAATCAAAGAAAGGTCTCGCCGACCGCCACAGCCGGTCTGGCCTCCAATGCATGACACTGTTGCGCGCACTATATCGTAACCGTCGTGGGCGGTGTGATGTAGCCTGTCGTGCCTGTGCCTCGCACACCGGCCCTTGCTCGGATCGTTCTCATAGCCTGTCTACTCCTTTTGGATTACCAGAAAACTGGAAATGCTGTTTGTTGGACAGAGCCATGTGAAACACAGGCATGCACACGATCCGCAAGCTTGCTGAAAATCACTCCCATCTTTTCGAGCCACCGAGTAGGATGGAACAGTCAATGCTTCTTGATCCAATCGCCATCATATGGACTTACCGAGAATTCCTTCTATCATTTGTGATTTCTCTTGTTATTTATCCCTTTTTCGCGCAACGTCAGTAACTATTAGGGTAGTGAGTGGATAATCTTGTTTGAGCCGGACGGGCACTGTCTGAGAGATCCAGGTTATGCAATGAAAGTAGCGCGGCCGATCGCCTTGCAAAGTTAGTTCTCTAGAAAGGTTCCAGGTTTTTGGTTGCATTATTGCAGCCACATGGCTTCATGTGCGAATAGTGCCGTTCATCCTTCGTAGTGGCGTTTTCAAGAAGACGGCTTGGACGGTCACAAAGTTGCTGGCTGGTAGGCCTCATTGTGAGAAGCAAGCACCCAGAGCCATGATGCGCTCAAGGCCACCACAACTCCGTGACCTGTCAGATTCGCTACACACCACCTCAAAATAGCGGAACACGGACCGGACCCTGCTCAGCCCGGCGCCACCGTCTTAGAGCATCCCCCCAGCGCAACATAACTGCCAACTGCATGCGTGCTGGATCCGGCGTGCATGCCGCGCGCGTTCTGTCCTGAGGCTGAATTGCGGCGCTGTTCGGTAATGCGCCAGCCTTCTACTCCGTACTGAACGCCTGACCCCACAGACTTGTACTGGGTATGAAGTTGGTTGGCAGATATCTTTTTATCCCGCAGCTAGCCATTTGACCGACCGAAGACAAGGCACAGAAGACTTTGCTTGTTACATTTTGCGCTCGTGTCACAAATCGAATCTGGCTTTGCTGCAGAGTTCTTCCCTTGTCCAGACAGCTCCTGGTAGAATAATGATGTGTTCATAAGTAAGGCTCACCTTACATATATTATGCGCGTGACTCTTGCTCCCAAAACTTGCTTTTGGAGCATCTAGTTTCATCCGGTTCGGCGCAGCCAGCCAGCCTCCCGAAAGAGAAAATCCTTGCGGCAAATGGTAGAGTGCAGCAAGAACGTGTGCTGTGTATAGCACATATCTTGACTTATGAGGCCATGGCTGATTGAAGCAGCGCATCAGTTCAATGAGAAGCCAGTGATGAATTACCATTGGGCCAGATTGCCCTTCAGAGTATCTTAGGCTGGGGTTAGTGACAGAAGGTGGTGGGATAGATCTGAGGATCTGACAGCACTGGCCCATTTATTCTTGTTTTGTGCAGAGTACTGTCATCTGTTACCCTGGCAAACTGTCACACGATGCCTATATTTCTTGTGTGCATTCCCGGTCAAAATGACGGGCAACCATTCTTAATTGCGGAGTGGGTGTATCAGAGAGTTGGAGGACGACGCACGTAATACTTCGTAGACAGGTCGTACGACGATCAACTCCACCATAATGTTCACTAGCTTTCCGTCAGCAAATGAATATGGACAGAGCCGTGATCGCCGCTGCCCTCCTGTCTTGATATTCTCAGCATCCTCAGGATTCGAAGTTGTGACTGGCCACTTTGGCTCGGCACGGCTGTCGTGTTGCCGCTATGAACCAAGGCCAGTAAGCTACTGTTGGCTACCAGCTTATAAAGCCATAGGTTAGTATATCTAGGTAGTTGACTGGAAGAGTTGCTGATGAGTCGATTGCTGGACTTCTGCCAGCCGTGTGGGCGCGACGACGGCACTAATCCAAGTCGGCGTAGCCTCGACTGACAGTGCAGCTCCGTGCGACTCAGTGCATATGTTGATGCAACGCGCAAAAAGGTATAGACCGGCGGTGAGACTCCAGAACAGTAGAAGAGGACGCCACGGCTGAGCGGCTTTGTGACGGAGAGCGACAGAGACTCCCCAGAACGCCTTTGCAGCCGGCCAATGGCCGAAGATGAGCACGGAGAGAGACCGAGCGATTGGTAAGGTCAATCTAAACCGTTTGCTACCGCCGCATCTCCGATTATGCTGTGTTTGATTCGCTGGGGGATGGAAAGGCAGTGGTGTGTGCGTGCGACATTACGGATGACTGGGGGCTGCGCTAGCTTCGACTTGCAGAATGACACTGACCCTTGTCGGACACCATAACGCATGCGAGAAAGGTATGCAAAACGAGGCGTAAGAGGGGAAAAAGTACGGATATGGTGCATACCAGACCATGAAGGAGATTCGGTACGACAGCAAGGCTGCCAGGGCCTGACTTGGCAAGGCAGGACAGGACAGGCACAAGAGGGAGGAATTTTGGTGGAGGCTGGGTCGCCCATGTGCGGGACGCACAGTTGGTCTAGCACTGTGCTTCGCAGCGCTCTACCAGTTCCAAGACACGCGCTGATGGGCAGTTGCTAGCCCCTGTCAGGTTGCCCAGGCTTGCGATGTTATTATTACAAAGGACTGTGCAGCCCCCACCAGCCTGCACTGTGCCATGCATCGGGAGGAAGCCACTGCCAGAAACAAGCTGCAGCTAAACTCCGGCATGCACCAGAAACACAACAAACACCCACGTTACGACATGAACACAAGCGAGAGACCCAGTATCGGCTTTGCACCTCTGTGCTCCTTACCAGAGTGCCAGAGCAATCCGTTGCTGCGCATGGCGGTGGTCAATGTCTTGCTAACCCCCGCCTCTCCCCCCCCTCCCAACGCCGCGATAGGTCTGATCGGGGTCTCGTCTCGTTTACACTGCTCCGAGGCCCTTTGATTGGGTTACCAATTACTCGCGGGACCGGCTCTTCTTTTCTACCTTTTTCTAGTCTCTGCAAACATGCAATTCGAGCCACTATTTACCGCCACCGTTGGCCACAAAGTGGCTGTAATGTATCCAGCCCTCGCCTCTCCCCGTCACCCGTTGAACAAGAGATCCGAGGGCAAGCTGCGGATAGACAAGAGCGAAAGTTGCGAGTAATTGGGCTCTGGAGATGTATCAGCGGCCAGGACTGTATCAATGATTGACCTTGCTCGAAACATTTTTCATGTCTGCATCGACTTCCTCAAGCACCACTGACTAACACTGGTTCCCTTTTTGATGCGAAATGCTCGTCTTGGTACGAACCAGACATGCTCAAAACACGACAAATATACTTTCCACCCAGAGCTCATTAACATTACGTTCATCTCATCGCACAATTGGCTGCGTCGAACCAGCTGCTGCTGACACGATTACCTAAGACGAATGAGGCCTCACAACTCGACAGCTTCAGTACCAGTATGGCCATGCCCTGAACCGATGTGCCGACGGATTTTTCCGCAGGCCGTCAATGCCTATTCGAGCGCGAGCTTGCTTGGCAGCCAGAGCCCTCGCTTCTTTTGGTCTTTTAGCTAGCATCTACGCTTCACCCTCTCTGCAAATCTTCCGTCTTAGCTCTCAGCCACCGCCCCAGCTAGCTCAACGTTTGTTCGTTGGGCAGTTCCAACCCAGTCCTTCTCACAATAACGGACTAGACTCCGACTTGCCTGCTATCCGCTGTCTGGTCCACCGTCGGTGACGAGACATGGATTGCTGGTGCACTCATAGATGCCACAGTGGAGCAAGACGCCTTGGGACGCCCGCCTCTACATATTAGACCCCTGTGCTACAAGTTCAGATTCTCCCAAGCACGATGGCTGGATGGACAGCAGACTTATTTGGTGCATCCAGGAGCCTTGCCTTTCCTGCAAGAGGCGTTCCTTGCACACCTGCTTGCCAGGCCAAGCCTCCCAGCCTGGGGTTGCAGTCGCCTTGACGGCCATCGACCGTGCTCATCTCACGCCTCTCCTCTCGCGGGACCCCCCTGGAACAAAGGCTGCAAGTGCAACCATGGAGGCCTTGTCAGGTGGGGGTTAAGCAGCTCATTCTATGAAAGAGGCTCGAGGCTAACCAGACACCAGTAAGTAAAGTCCGCACGACTGTCAAGACTGTCTACCCTTTTCTAAACGTACACCTGTCTCCATGACGATCTGGCTGCTCCTTATCAGACGAGCTTCAAGTCCCGGCCAAAGATATATATGCAGCCGTCTCTGGCCCTACTTTGTCACACTCCGCCACATCAACCCTTTTCCTAAACCACCTCATCCCTACACGTCTCACTACTTGTCACTGGCCTTCATCCTCGTCCGATTTTCTTCTCTGCTTTGAACCACCCATAACGCGACCACGTATTCGTGCCTCGCCGTTTTGACTCCTCATTCTTCCCACAATTTGCAAGTTGGCCCAAGCTAGATGTTACTCCTCTTGGCCCGGGTATGTTGGCGATAGCAAATACCGAGAGCGATGGATCACATGTTTGTCAAGGAACCAGACATCGACGTCAACCAACCGCAGCAACAGGAGTGCGAATCAGTTTGGGGCAATATGGCACTACAGTCACCGTTCCCGCGCGACCATACTTGGACACCACCAGCTGCACCCAACTCATCTCATAGCAGTCAAGTATCGCCTCTGAGTGGACTGGTAATGGGGCGTACTATAGATTCCCGATTCCCATACTCGGCGGCCTCGTCTTGCGAAGGGTCGTGGGCGAGTACTGCCACAGATCGCGAAGAGGCCGAGAGAGAGCTCAACTGGGACGAGTGGGAGCAAGGGTTTGACTCTGCACCAATTATACCAAAGGATGAGCCCGCGGACGAAGAAGGCGTATCCATGTCCGAATTCAAAACTACCACCCTCGCATCCACAGAGACAGGCATCGCTGCATCCGGCCAAAAGAGGGGAAGAGGAAGACCCAGGAAGAATCCGGTTCCAATACCAGCTAGTACTAAAGTCACCAAGGGGCGCTCCAAGACCGGCTGTATTACGTGTCGCAAGAGAAAGAAGAAGTGTGACGAATCTAAGCCTGGGTGTATGTATACAATCACTTGTGCGTGAAGTTTTTTCTTGAAGCTTACAGAGTGTTCAGGCATGAATTGCGAGAAAAACTCGGTGTTGTGTGAAGGATATAACGAGAGGCATATATGGAAGAGCGGCAAGGAGCGCGCCGAGCAAGGTGAGCAACTCAGCACTGATCAAGCCCGTTGCATCTATTTTTTCTGACACGGCCCTGACAGGACGCACGAATCGAGGGCCGCTTCCACTTGTGACACTTCCGGCACTTGTTCAGGGCTTCGACACTCTTGAAGACAAAATATTCTTGAGTCACTACACAAACCGTCTCAGCAACGTGCTCACAGTTGAACCGAAGTCCCAGAACGCGTTCAGACGCATCTTGCTCACTCTCGCCATAAGTCATCAAGGGCTTCTACACTCTATTTTATCTATCAGCAGTATCCATCTTGACCTGGACACTACTTGTGGTCAAGCTCTGCTACAGAATTGCCCTGCTGTCACCAGAGAATCACTCCAGCAACGTTCTGACTACCACACCAAGGAGGCGCGAAATAGTCTACTAGCGGCTATGGACAAGTGCAAGCTCCTTGATAAAAGTAGTCAAGAGTATCGTCTCATATTGGCCGCTCTTTATGGCCAGATTCTATGCTTGGTGTTGCGCACCTTGATAGAAGGCAACCCGAGAGGCGAACATCGCATGCATCTGAAGGCATATCAAACATTGATACGCGAATCGCCACCAGAGAGCGTGCAGCTTTATACGTTTATTACTGAATTCTTTCAGTATCATATTTTCGCCGATGATCTTCTATGGCACCCGGAGAGTGATTCGGCGCGCCTCTCGCTAGAGGAGAGCGGCAAACCCCCAAGTGATGTCACGCCACGCCTCATCGGTGTCACTGACGGACTCTTTCAGCACTTGCGCGACATTACAGCATTACGAAATGAAATACGCAACAATATGACAGCAGCATCGGACCAACCACCTGTAAGCTACGCCGAGGTTTTCAAGGCCCACGACATCACGCTTGCACTCCAATCTTGGTCTCCTACCTGGTCGGATGGCGACAACAGAGACAAGGTCGGCGCACTGTACAAGTTGGTGTTGTGGATTTACATTTTCCGTACAGTGTATCCTCCAGCTGCGGGCAACGCCGACTTTCTCTTGGGGGACTCCTCTTTGTCATCGTACATGCAGGAGAGACGATCATCAATCGCATCCTCTACCGGCCAGCTATCCAACGGGTATGGCGAGGATTTCTTTGAGACAATGACTCCCTTCTCTCCAATTACGTCCAGAAACAACTCTGTTCACGAGGAAGACGGCCTTCCTACGCCGGCCCCGACACATGGGACCAGCTCAAGCCGCCCGCCTTCGCCGCCACCATCGCGTAGGCCATCTCAGGACGACAAGCGGGTCACGGCGTCGATTGCCGATGCGCTGGCCATTCTCGAGTCGTTTGAGCCGCATGATCAGTGTCAAACGCTGCTCTTGATCCCCTGCTTGCTGATCGGCACATCCTGCTTCGATGCGGCGCTGCGTCCGCGAATTCGCGCGGCGATCCAAACCGTGCGCGATTATACTGGTTTGCGCAACGCAGACAGGGTGCAGGAGGTTCTGAATGAGACGTGGGCTCTCATGGATATCGGCGGCTGGGTCGCAGTATGGGACTGGCAGGCAATTGCCAAGCGTAATGGGCTTGATTTTCTTTGTACATGAGTCGCGAAGAAACGGCGTTGCTCTGTTCTTGTTCTTTTGCAGCTCTCTGGCAGACCTGTGACACCTTTTTTTTCCAACAGCACGCATTCATTCGCGGAACAGATGCGCGAGCAGTGACGGCATTTAATGCTATCTTCTTCTTTGTTTATATACCAGCAGTCCCGAGGGGCCAACTTGTGGTGACAATATTCCCCTATTGAGCGTTTATTGACTCGCAGAGTAACTCTGATATTTGGCGCTTTGGCAGTCGTCTCTCTTATATACACAGCCTCGTGCGCAGAGGCAGCCTATTCCTAACACACATTCGCTTTCAGCTTTCAAAGTGGTACCGTGTTACGTATTGTTTGCCTTGCTCGTTGCCCTAAAGTGTGTCATTCTATTGCATCCAATGTCGGCTCAGTTTGTATTGCTCTGGGGCGACTGCGTTGGCTTTGGCCCCGCTGCATTCTGTAAAAAAGCTATTGTGATACAGTTCAAGGTTTATGAGCTCTCTCTCGGTTCCGATCCAGAACGTCCCACGTAGGTTCTCAATCGCAATGTAATCGCACATCGTTTAATGGCACATGTCGGGACTGGTCAAGTAATGGGCTTCACCTTTTGAGAGTGTGACTACTGTGTGTGGTGCACGGCGTCACAAACGATGTCAAGGCGGTACTGGAGAGTCACAAATTGTTGGGGAATCGGTCGAGGAGCAAAGCATATATCTCTGTTCAGACGCACACCAGACGCGGCGGGCTTTGCTCTGATATAAGTCTCATGGTGTACAAGGCCAGAACACGCGCCAGCGCTCAGGTAGTAAAGAGAAGCATGTTCGACAAAATGAAGACAAGCATCGTCCCAACTGTAATTTCCACATGAAGCAATTCCCAACAAGAATTCCATCAAGAACTTTTCTTCTCGAGTTTCTCCCTCAATCACGTCTTCCGTCTCTGTCGGCCTCAAACGAAAATCGTCCTAGCGGCTCACCTGCCTGTCCCGGCTGACCTAGTAGCGGTGCACCAGGTCGGGCGTTGCCGCCATCAAGACGCTGCGCAATGTGCTCGGCAACCTCGCGCGGCTGCTGCTGATGTCGGAGACCTGTGGGGTGGACGGGTACGGGGCCTCGAAACGTGGTATCTACATAAGGCTCGTATTCTGGTCCGGGGTAGCCGGAATCGGCGGCCACTCCGTCAATCATGCGCGCCTCACGACGCTCCTGCAGGGCAGCGGCGCTCGCCGGCATGTCGCTGCCTGCACCGGAAACCATGGCGAAGTCGCGCTCGCGGCGGATGTCGCTGAGGCCCGAGGCGGTGCGCTCCACGGTCCAAGGCGCTTGCTGGGCTTGGGAAGCTGGGCCTGGCACCGGCCTGCGGTGGTAGATGGGTCCCGAAACTGTGCTGTTTGCGCCTTCGCCGAAACCAACGAGAGAGGCCGATCCGTCGTCGCTCATCCTGTCTTCATAGCCGCCGACAGAGCGAGTGGCGATTCCCTCATCCATGTCCTCGTCCATGGCGTCTGGTTCCGCTGCCATGCTGGCAACAGACTCGGCTGTCTCACGGTAGTTTGTGTCTGTGCTAAACATATCCTCATCCCTATCACCGGCCGTTTGTCGGGAGTCGTTGCCTTCGCCATGACGGCTACTCTCCGTCGCACTGGCCGTGCCTACGGTGCTCATCTTGGTCACGGCGACGGGCTGGCCGTTGACGTCAAAATACGAGGGTGTGAGGTTATGCGATGCGGGAAAGTTGGCCGGGAAGCCAGTTGTAGAGGTCGGCGTCGTCTGCGGCGAAAGCGACGAGGCATCGCCGCCTGCGCCGCTGTTGAGTCCGCTAGTCGCTATGGGTTGTTGGGTCGGGGGCGCGCGCAGCGTTGACACGCGTTCGAGGCCGGCGAGGCGGGAGATGCGATCGGCTCGTTCGGCTTCGAGGCTGGTGGTGGAGGGTGTGTGCTGGTGACCGCGGCCGAGGGGCCCGCCGGGCAGATGGCCGCGGTGACCATCCTTGATAGCGGTGGTTGAGAGCGCGGAGAGCGAGGTGGTGGCGCTGGTTGGCGTGCCGCTGCAAGGAGATGTGAGCAAAGAGAGGGGGGTGGCAAACGGATTCACGATGCAGAAACACACGGTATTTCGGACGGGGTGTCTGGATTGGAGCCCGGCTGGGGAATATTAATATAAGCAGGCGGCGCCTGCGCCATTGTAAAAGAATTTGTCTGAATCGAAGAAAGAGGGACGAAGAGGCCGGTTGAGCAGAAGTCGCGGAGGCGCGAGCGGCTGATGACGCAACTCTGCAACGGGCTGACGGTGATGGGTGTAGCAGGCGCGAGCGTGGATCTAGGTCGAAGGAAGGGGATCAAAAGAGTAAACAGCGGCGCAACAAAGAATCAGGAATAAGATCGAGTGGTATGTGATAATAGATGGAGAATTGAGGATGTAGCAGAACGATGTTGGAAACAACATGTGCGTGATGCAGTGAGAAAAAGAGGGTAGTGCAAGTTGAAGCCGTGATGGGTTGCCTTGAAACTGGAGACCTTGTACCACTTTGCCAGGCAGTCTCGGGCTCTCAGCGCGCTACGACGAGTCGGTGATCATGGCGGGGAAAAACGTGCTAAAGTGGTATGCCCGCTAAAACAGTGGCATGACCCGCTGTTTCACGGGTCTTTCGCCTCATTTAGGGGCATGCATGCCCGCTGAAGCTACCTACATTTTTGTCTCCCCACTGTACCTACAAATACAGCGGCGATTTAAGCTTTCCTGTACAGCGAGACGCGGGGCTCAGGCGCTCAATCCAAAAGTACTTGATTCAAGACACAAATTAGACTAGAGCTGTAGGTATCAGATGTCAGGCGGACACTGATTTTGAAACAAGCTTCTGCGTCAATATAAACTTTATATCTTCTAGCGATCCAGACGAAACGAGCAAGTAAAGCTCTAGCATGCGCCTAATTTGCCAATATCACATCATGTCAGGATGAAACAAAGCCATCACCGTCTCGGCGACGATGCCACCATCATCCAGCACATCACCAAACAAAGCATAAAACAACATGCTGCCATTATATATCTCCAATTGCATTTCCGAAACATGATCCTTCTCCAAGCCCCAAACTCCTTCTGCAAGCCATTTCACACCAGCACATTCTCCATCCCTCTATTCCTCCTCTGATATCTCCTCCTCCTCCTCCTCCTCCTCCTCTGCCCGCAACACAATCCCCAGCCGCAGCGGCTCACCTTGTTCCTCTTCCACCGTCTCCCCCTCGTCCTCCTCGCTCTCCTCGGACTCCGTCTCCTCGTGCACCGTTGCCTCGTTCTCCCTGCTATTCTCCATGACGCCCTGCGCCTGCAGCTCCTGCGTCACCAGCTCCGTCCACTCGCGCGCCGTCTTCACTTTGGCGTCCCTCTTGCCCGGCGGCGGCACCAGCCGCACCACGTCCCAGACCCTCTGGAACCTGGCCTCCATCACCCACCCGACGTGGTCCTTGCGGGCGTCGTCCCACGTCCTCGCGTCCAGCGCCGTCTCCGTCTGCCGCTGCAGCCGCATGCCGCCCCGGCCCCCGCCCGTCACCTGCACAATGGTGCCTCGGCGGTCGATGGACGTTTCGAAAAAGAGCCCGCACTGATCGGCGTTGCGCCCGGTCTTGACAATGAGAAACACCTTGTAGGCTCGCATGGCTCGCGGTAAGCTTTCGTGGTTCTCGTAGATCGGCGTCCTGTAACAAATGGTCGTAACATGGGGCATTCTCACGCTGGTGGCTGGTCACTCACTACGTCGGTCTATGAGCAGAGCCGTCTTTCATTGCTGGATTTCGGTAAAGGTCAAGATTATGTATGGATCCTGCTACGCTACACATTAGGATTGATAAGAAAAGTCAGCCGAGTACAAGACCGTATAGTGCTGTACAATTGTCGTCTCAGCCCTGTGCGACTCGATTCCGCCCCGACCAACGGCACAGAAATCACAAAGTGAGGCAAGAATTCGAAACGTGGATTTCAATTACTTTGATTGCTTTTTCGTGATACCCTGTGGTGTAGCCTCGACTCATGCGAATGCAGGAAGCTGACGCTCTAGTATAACCTAGACGGTCTCGAACCCGACAGCCTCCCTCGGGCCACACCACATAACTATATGGAGGATTTCCAAGCTAATGTGTGTGTCCTAATCTAGTTGAATTCACCGGGAGTAAAGTCAATAATATAGGGCTTAGCGAGGAAGGGAAAGAGCTTATTGACAAAAGCAATGTGAGCAGGGTCCTCCTTGACGTAGTACTGGCGGTCCTCGACAGAGGCGAACTCAACGACAAAGGCGTGTGTGATGCCGTGCTAGCGGAAATTGTCAGTTTCTCGTTTCATTTCATGCTCCTTTCCGCTGCATCACAGGTCTATCCGGGCGGCCCGCTTGGGCTACCTCCCAATACGGCGTAAAACAGGTTGAGCACTGTATTCATGCTTGTAGTTTTCAGCGTGCGTACCTGCAGACCCTCGATGCTATTGTCTGTACCGCCAGATGAGCGTAGAATGTAGGGCTTTTGCGTCTTTGAGTGGATGCACTTGTCCTTAAGGCCAAGCATCTCTGCGCTGAACTGTTTAGATTCATTAATTCTCAGGGCACTATTGTCATCAGGGTAACTTTGTCTCGCACCTCATCGCGCTGGGCCTTGGTGACCTCGGGCTTAAACTCGAACAAGACAATGTGCGTAACGGGAGCCATTTTTTTGGTCTGCTGATTACTGTATCGATGGTCTGGACGTTTGTCAATAGAAAGATGCTCAAAACAAGATCGTGGCGGTGTTGTCAACATATATATTGCCTGATTACATTAACCAACAAAAGCGTGGATCCGCATTTTTTGCAACTACAAGGTTCGCTCACCACGGCGGCGGGGTAGCTTCGTTCGCGTCATACTAAATAGCCTATATTAATAGGTAAGCAAATGAGTTTGTAAGCAGCTACTTTTGTCGTTGCTGTATAGCTACTGGCGCTGGAAAACCAATGCGAAGTCATCTCTGGCATGTTCACCTCAAGCATGTCCGATGTCGCAAGTCTTGTTTCCATAGTCTCATCTCGCAACGTTCCCGACATTTGTCAGCAACTCGAGATCTGGTGTAGATGTCAGCTGGTTTCTCGGCGAAACGTCCCCAGAGTGATTGGATGCATTAACTTGACAACCAACAGCCAAATGACGTTTGATATGGCGCAGATGCACGTCTGGCTGATCGATTGCTTCCATATCACGGCCCTTTTATGCTTGCATGCTTGCGAATCATTGATGCAAAAGTCCAAGCCAAAGAGATCACTGCTACACGCATCTAAAAGAAAGGTTCAAAAGTCGCTTATAAATCTTAATCCGCTTTTGGCCTTTTTTGCCAGCCTCTCTTTACTCCTGCATCTCCAGTGGTCGAGTTGCTGCCACCTGGCGACTGCTCTTCAGCCCGTGCGTCGAGTATGTAAAGCTGACCCGTACGAACTGCTTCCTGATTCATTCAATCTTGCCGATTTTCGTAAACCGTACAAAGCAGCGCCCCGAACCTTCCGAAAATAAAGCCGTCAGTTTACTCAGCGGGCCCAGAATGCTCCACGGCTCTTGGGGGTAATGCGGCCCGAGATGCCGCTCCTTGTCACCGCGCCATAGCGACATACGACTCGGTGTCGGCTGGGAATCAGAATCGACGTGTTAGTGAAGCCAGCAAGAACACAGGATTGGATCGATTGCCGAGGTAAAATGGTACGCTGTAGCATACGCCGTCGACCAGCTCTTGCACGACCGACTCGCAGGCGCCTCTGTACCGGCCTCGACGCCGTGTCCAAAGTCTTTCTTGATAATGCGCAATGATGGGTGTAAGAATCAGTCTTTGAACGCGCCACAAATTCCAAATAGTGGCAAATACGAGACGACGCATGAACTTTGCAGACATTTTAATAAGCCGAATTGGACAAGCCCATCTCACAGTAAGACAGTCGCAACAGCTTCTAACATACTGGCACAAGTTGCTATCGAGTGAGTAACTCGGCTTCGATTAGATTTGCCCCGTATATGCGGCTAGCGATTCGGGCATGCAACTACGCCGGTGCAATGTGTCACTCCTCCAAGCTGCGTGCAGCTGACTTGCAGAGAGACACAACGCCGTCGTCGATAGTGTCTGGGCAACTTTACTCGTGCAAGGCAGGCTGGTACGGCGTGGATGACGACGAGAAGAAGAAGAAGCGACCGACGCTTATCATCGGCAATGGCTTCGACTGCCGCCGCGCAAGAGGACTTTCGTACCACTACTTTGTGGCCCGCGACTGGAACTGACTCACGTACAGTACTGACTACAAGCCCTCATTTATGTGTCTATAAAATTGTTGATTACCGTCTGGCCCGGACTCGGTGATTCCGACCCTCAATGTTTTCTACCTTTTCGAAACAGTCCAGTCTTGGTCGTCATATGACCGGAGCCAAACATCACAATACACCACCATCTATTGCTCGTTTGTACAACGCCGCAGCCATTTGAGCATTGCTTCAATGAGAGAAGGCTTGTCATGAGAGAGCGTATCCTGAAAAAGTCCACAACCTGAATATATGTAATCACCTTCTAGTAAATCAGCCACGTGAAGCTCTTTCACACGTGCCAAATTTTAAGTACACGAGCCAGCCCCCCTTTCGGCTCCAACTATAAACACGGTGTTGACCAGCGGCGGGCCTTCACAGCGGCGGCAAATCTTCTCTGCATATCGGACACTGCAGCCGAAACTTCATCCAGCTCTCCAGGCACGCCGTGTGGAAAATGTGCCGACACGGCGTCACCATGTACATGCGCCTCGCAAACACGCTCGCCACGCCGCCACCGTCGTCGTCGCCGACGCGCACGACGGGCACCTCGAGAATCTCCTGACAGATGGAGCAGTCAATGACGTGTCGCGCAGTAGCCTTTTCACCCGTCGCCGCACTGCTGCTTCTCCGTCGCGCGCCGCCGTCATGCGCTGGCTCCATGGCCTCGTCGACGGCGAGCAGCCCAATCGGGAGCCCGCCGGCCTCAACGTTGTCCGCGCGCAGCACGGGGTGGTAGTCCCACGCGTCGGGCAGCCAGCGCGCGGGCACGGCGAAGCGCGGGCCGAGGACGTCCTGCGCGGCGAGCACCACGAGCTGCAGCCAGAGCCAGGCCGCGAGGGCGGCAAACGCGCGGGGGCTGGTGCGCGCGAAGAGAAAGTTGTCGGGGTTCAGCCAAAAGTAGGCAATGGGCGTGATGCGGAGGAGCGACTGGCCGAGGACAAAGGACCAGGCCAGGGCCCGGCGGCAGTTGCGCACGGCGTTGCGGCGTATCTGGGGCGTCCAGAGCGAGAGGTAGGCAAAGGCGCAGATATCGAGGTAGGTGGCACGCGCGGAGGGGTACCAGGTTGAGGAGGAGAGAGTGACGAAGCCGAGAACGAGGCTGATGAGGACGAAGCGCCCGATGATGGCTTGAAAGTTTTGACGCGGTGAGGTGGTGGTGGAGGGTGCGGCGGCGAGCGTGGCGCGAGATGGCAGGGCAGCGGCGCCAGAGGTGAAATCGGCGTCGACATCACCGTCAAGAGGCACAATGACGGGTGATTGGCGGGGAGGAAGGCCACCGGGGGCGGTGACGGGACCGGGAAGGAGGGACGCGGAGGGGAGGGCCGCGGGCGAAGGCGTAGTGTTGGTGGACGGCTCGGAGCGCGGATTGTTCTCTGGGAACTGGACTTCGTAAATCTTTGCCAGAAAGCTGCCGCCAATGGTCATGGACAAGAACGCCGCAAACATGAGCGCCATGGTTGGGAGGAACGTGGCGCCGGCCGACGACACCCACGTCGCCGAGGCGGTAAACGTGATGCCGTCAACCATGACCATGGAGGCGACGGTGCCAAAGCTCACGCGGCCCATGGTCGACGGCGTAAACGTCTCCTTCATTTGGTTCTTGAGGAGAAAGACCTGGCCAAAGACGACGCACGCAAAGATGAGCAGCCACGTCTTGATGCGGTGCGTCTGCACCTCTGCCTTGACGCCCGCGAGGTGGTTAGCCTCGCTGGGCGGAAACGCGGGCGGTCCCTTGGACTCGAGAAAGAAGCCGCAGTCGGGCGAGTAGACAACGACAGACATGCGCAGCGGGGGCACGGTACCGACGGGTGCGCCGCGCGGCGTCGCGAGCTCGTCCTCGATGGCGGCAATGAGCTGCGCCATTTCCAGCGTATCTTTGGCGGCGCCGCCGCCGCGCAGACGGTCACGGTCCGGCGGATGCACCTGCGCGTATAGGATCATCTCGCACTGCGGCGCGGGGCTGAGTAGAAACTGCGGGCTGCTCTGCGTCTCGGCGCTCCACGGCACCGTCTGGTCGCTGTAGACGTTGCGCTCCTTGGCGTCGAGCACTTTGCCGAGACGCTGGGTGAGGAGCGCCTTGCTGGACTGGAAGTAGTCCGGTCCGGGCGTTAGGTGCGGGAGGCCAAAGATGCCTTCGTACTTTTCGCTCGTCGTCGTCATGAGCACGACGCCCTGCCGCGGCCAGTGCACGCCCCAGAGGCGCATGTCCCACGTCGATTGCGAGCCCATCGTGTCCTCAAGCGAGAGCGTGCCCTTGACGTGGCGGATCGAGCCACCGGCCAGCGGCGCCTGGTCGCGCGGCAGCTGCTCAAAGGCCGTCGTCGTCTTGTTGCTCTCGAGATGCAGGTGCATGAGGCCCGACGAGCCCGTCAGGTTGCGGCCCCAGCTGATGTGGTCGCCGATCCAGTCCATGTCGGGCACGCTGTTGCTGAGGTTGTAGCTGTCGTAGCTGCGTGGCACGCTTCCTGGACTGTACACCCATTGGCCTTCTAAGCTGCCCGACGCCGTTGTCCACACCGGCTCGCCCTCGGCCGTGTCCCACAGCGACGGCTTGTCCGGCGCAGAGGCCACCGCGTGCCGGCTCAGCTGCACGCTCTTCTCCCTGAACCTGTCAAGGTCCTCCCAGGCGAATCCGTCAATCTCGCGGAAGCCAGTCATGTTGAGAAAGGCCGGTGCGTCCTGCGCAGTCGGCGCAAAGTCTCCCCATTGTGTGCCGTTAAGGACCGCGAGAGCGTCGCGGTAGCGGGCCAGTCGACGCGCGGCAATCGCGGAGAGCAGGGGCCCCGTCTGTCCTACGATGTCGCCCATGGGCATGAGAAGCCATATCATGAGGATGACAAAGGCGAAACTCACGCCGGTCTGCTGTCTGGGCGGCATCGTGGCGGCGTCGTCGGCTTCGCGCGAGGGGTCGGCTATGCGGTAGTTTCTGGGCTATTGCAGCGTCACCAATCTATTGTAGGCTCATCTTTGGTAGCATTTCGATTGCCAAAATTTGGCTCCAGTGAAAGTCGCAGAGCCTGCAAAGATATCGATCGGATAGCAAGAGGAGATGTGTAGTTGAAAGATGAAAGGCGGATGAAGTGCCTGGTGACGCTAGTAGTGAAAGGCGTCCGCCGTCGATGCAGCTACAGTGGAGTAGCCCTTGTTGGGTTGCCCACCTGTGATGCATCGCATCGTGCGTCAATGCATCCAACCGTCCACCTTTCGAGATACCGCTAAGCAGAGGACTAACGGCCTGAAAATCATTCAAGAAGTGACGCTTCGAGCTCCGATTCAAATATGTCTTCAGATGATCGCGATTCCAACACGCCGGTGCAAAACAACGTAAGACAACCCTTTTGTCACGCCTGGCGCAAACGTGGCACGCGCCTCAGCTTCAGCAAGCCGGGAACGGCGCCCTTTGACTTCAAGATCGCTGACTGACTCGATGCACTCGATAGTCTGGCGATGACGCGCGTACAGAATTTAATGCTGCAGTAGAGGAGCTCCTCAACACCATCCAGAACAAGTTTGCCGGTGTATCTTCAGAGATATTTGCCAAGCGTAAGTCTCCAGGACATACTCTACACGTCTTTTCTAGTTTACGAACATTATGCAGTGGATGACATGTCGTCAAGATTGGACAAGTTGGAAGCAGAACTGCGCGAGAGCAATTCCAAAGAAAATACTCCCACCAAATCATAGACATTGGCGCTTCTTGCAGGTCATCACATAACGACAGTGTGCATTTAGGCTTACGATCATCAAACGGCAATAGAATTTCAATTTTGAATCATTCATATCTAAGTGACTTTTGTAGCACAGCTACCTACTATCATGATGTAAGTTCAAAAGCCGCTGCTCTACAGCTCCTCCTTGGCCTGCTCGACCTTTTCTGCGACGTCCTCGACAAACTTCTTGAGAATGTTGGCCTTGGTCTTGATCTCGTCGCGCTTCGAGGGGGCGAGTCCGCCCTTGGTCAGAATGCTGTCGAGTCTGGCCGACTCCTTCTTGACCCAGCCCTCATTCTGGCTGAGCTTGTCAAAGACGCGGACATAGTACTCGGCGTACTTGAGCTCGGCAGCCTCCTTGAGCTTACCGGCCTCCTTCTTCACCTCGGCGGCAACTTCGGCAATCGTGGCGCCACCAGTCAGCTTCTTGACCAGGACGTCGAGGGCGGCGACGGTGCCGGCGATGCCGTCAAGGTCACCGCCAGGAAGACGGTGGGTGCCAGCCTTCTCGTTGATAAACTCGACAATGGCGGCCTCGGTGCGGGCCTTGTCGAAGTCGACGCCCTTCTTGTCGCCAGCAGCAAAGAACTTGATAGTGGGGTAGGACTTGACGCCATACTCGGCGGTCACGGCCTTGCTGTTGGGCGCCTCGGCATCGACCTTGGCAATGACCACATTCTTTTCGTTGGCGAAAGCGGTAGCGACAAGTTCCCAGACTGGGGCGAGCTTCTTGCAGTCTAGCAGCTCCAATTAGCAACACGGTCTTGGTATCATGGCTACAAAGCTACTTACGTCCGCACCACGGGGCAGTAAAGGCAACAAGAACGTGCTTGTCACTGCCAACGGTCTCCTTGAACGTGGTGTCGTGGAGCTCGACAACCTCGGAGGGGAGCTCGAGCTTCTTCTTGGCGCTAACGCCAGTCTTTTTCGTAATGAACTCGGTGAGGCTCTCGAGATCGCGGCCAGAGCTGTATTCCTCGGGTTTGTCGCTCTTGCCGTCGAAGAACTTAAGCGTGGGAAATCCCTGGACGCCGAAGCGCTTGCCGAGGTCGCGCTCAGCATCAGCGTCGACCTTTGCGATCTGCACCTTGTCCTTGGCGTGCTCGAAGACGCCAGCGAGCTCCTCGTAAATGGGAGCGAGCGTCTTGCAGTGGCCACACCAGGGAGCAAAAAACTCAACTAGCGTAGGTTTGCCGGACTTCAGAACCACATCGTCAAAGTTCTTAGGGATTAGGTCGATGACGGCGGACTTGGCGGCGACGGTGGCGGCCAGGGCTCCGAAGAGGACAGTCTTGAGCAAGACCATGGTAAATTGGTATGTCTAGCGCGAAAAAAAATAAACCAAATGTCAGTATAGTGAAACAATGGGAGGTTGCCAAATTTGCCCGAGTAACTGAATTGGAGCGGGTGGTTGATCGTGCGACAAAGGGACTTCTTACAGATCGGCGGGCTTCTATACACGTATGGCGTATCGAAGTTGGCCCCTGTTACCAGCTAGACAATCCAGAGCTCTAGTTAGGTATCCAGACAGTGACGCTGCCTCCCCACCATGGAAGGGGCGGCCAAGCTCTATCAGCACGTGATGATAGGCCATCCACCAACGTTGGCGCGCACGTGACTGCCCTGCAGCGGACCCGGAGGAGTGGGCTGGGGTTGGGAACCCTCCAATCGGTTGCCCGAATGGGGCGAGGGAAATTCACACAAAATTTACGCCCACCTTAATCTTCGCGAAATCCCCTTCCTAACCAGCAATCCAGTCTCCGCCAACACAACCGCAATCATGTCTCACGAGAACGTCTGGAACTCGCGCCCGCGCACCTACGGCAAGGGCTCTCGCAGCTGGTACGAATTATCCCGATCTCCGCGATTTCCGCAGGCACAACGTTTTTTCTCTGGGGAAGAAGGAAGCCTGCTCGACGGCCAGGCTCGATACTCGAAATGCGAAGAAATCTCGAAATGCTAACAATATCGTCTTTTTGTAGCCGCGTCTGCAAGCACACCGCCGGTCTCATCCGCAAGTACGATCTCAACCTATGCCGTCAGTGCTTCCGTGAGAAGGCCAAGGACATTGGCTTCGCCAAGGTACGCGATATCAAACCCACGCACCTCCGACGATGCGGGCAACGATTCAATCAATTTCTCCCTTCACCGATCGAAATGATCACTCTTTTAGAAAAGAGTTCAGACGCAAAATCACGACCCAATGCGCATAATTCAGGGACGAATGCTGACATATTTTCTTCCTTTCACAGTACCGCTAAATGCATATTTTCCCTTTTCATACACAAAAAAAAAAGTCCAAGCCGAATCTTTTTTCGATCAACCGTCATGGGGAGAGATTAGGAGAGCGAGGAATAGCCATGGGGGTGGGGGTCTGGGATGATGCATTTCAGTGATGGCGTCGCAGAGATGGAAAAATGAGCACTCGAAGGGCTGCCCGCTTGGAACCGGAGTTTTAATGGCTTGCTTTGGTTTTGAGGAATATCGTGCGTCTGACGATTATCCTCCAAGGATAGACGAATACCATTACGATGGAAATTACACCCACGCAATTGTTCCATGTTGACATGTGTGATTGAGAGGACTGGCCACCGGACATCTTGAGACGTCCGACGTACTGCTGAGGCTCGACGACGGCCGCTGCCTTACGGTCACAGTTGATTGAGGACCTCTTTCAATTCGTGGTTCAACTTCCGCGTACGTGACGCTGTCGCAACGCCATGGTCGATAGCTACTGTACTCGACTACTTGATGGCGCATTTTGCCGATTTTGCATTTGTTTGATTCGAGAGTTTTCTAAAGTACATTGGAGTTTTACATTTGTCTATCGCCTACTCCTTCCAGCCCGTCTAAAGTACAGATTCAAGACAGTAGAGAAGAACAAGAGTGGAGATCCTCAAGGAAACATCCTTGGGAATATACAAGAGCCTCCATGCTCGTCAAATAACTTTTGCAGCTCTGACAACTCCGGGATGAAGTTGAGCCTTAGTGTGTGGTTGTTTTTATACACCGTCCAGTGAAATGCAATCGTTGTAACTCACTCCCCGTGCGGATTTCATTTACTTCATAATACGAGTAATCAGACCAGTAGCAACGGTTCTGCCACCCTCACGGATGTTGAAGCGCTGACCAATCTCGATGGCGTTGGGGTTGGTGAGGGTCAGAACCATCTCGACGTTGTCACCGGGCATGACCATCTTGGTGGAAGCATCCTCGGTACCTTCGGGGAAGGTCAGATCGACGGAGTCGTCAGCGGTACGAAGGTAAATCTGGGGGCGGTAGTGCTCGTGGAAACCGGTGTGACGACCACCCTCCTCCTTGCTGAGGACGTAGAGAGAAGCCAGGAACTGGCTGTGCGAGGTAACAGAGCCAGGCTTGCAGACGACCATGCCACGGCGAATGTCCTCACGACGGATACCACGAACAAGCAGACCAGAATTGTCACCAGCCTCAGATCGGTCGCAGGACTTCTTGAAGGTCTCAATATCGGTGACCTTTGTCTTGATGGGCTCACTGCCCTTGCCGACAATCTCAATATCCTCATCGCGCTTGAGAACACCACGCTCAACACGACCGGAAACGACGGTACCACGGCCAGGGATGGAGAAGACATCCTCAACGGACATAAGGAAAGGCTTGTCCATTTGGCGCTCAGGGGTAGGGATCCACTCGTCGACGGCCTTGAGAAGCTCATCGATCTTCTGCTGGCCAATCTCAGGGCGCTGGTTGTTCATGGCCATGAGAGCAGAGCCCATTATGACGGGTGTATCGTCGCCCTCGAACCCGTAGGTGGAGAGCAGCTCCCGCATCTCCATTTCGACAAGCTCCAGCATTTCAGGGTCGTCAATGGCGTCGACCTTGTTGACAAAGACGACGATTCTCTGGACACCGACCTGACGAGCGAGCAGTAGATGCTCACGGGTCTGGGGCATTTGACCGTCGGAGGCGGCGACGACAATGATGGCACCGTCCATGTTGGCAGCACCAGTAATCATGTTCTTGATGTAATCGGCGTGACCGGGACAGTCGACGTGGGAGTAGTGGCGGTTGTCGGTCGAGTATTCAATGTGAGCAGTGGAAATGGTAATACCACGCTTGCGCTCCTCGGGAGCCTTGTCGATGGCACCATACTCGAGGAAGTTGGCGAGGCCCTTTTCGGCCTGTCGCTTGGTGATAGCGGCGGAGAGGGTGGTCTTGCCGTGATCGACGTGGCCGATGGTACCTAAGCAGGGCAAGTTAGCATGAAAAATAATACAGCTAAATGATGGAGTGCTCACCAATGTTGACATGGGGCTTGCTACGGTCGTGGGTAGCATATGTGCGGTAGGCGTTGAGGATACTGGCGGCATTCTGTGTCTTGATGGAGCGAAGGGGGTTCGCGGTGAGACCCTGCCGCGCCGTGCGCATAAACGGCGCAATAGACCGGAAAGCGACAGACATTGTGAGGATTGTGGGGTATTATAAGGAGATACTAAAAGGTACAGAAGAGAAACAATGCGACGGCGAGGAAGGAAAGCAGGCGAGAAACTGGTGGAAAGCTCTCCTGTGGAAAGTTGCGCTCTGAAATTTTTATGAGCTCCAGCGTCGTGCAATTCGCAACTGGCAATTGGCCAGGGGCCATTAGCGGCGGTGGTAATAATTACCTAGTGCAGCCCACTTTCTTTGAATGCCAGTCACGTGGAGCGCCAAAACCGACACTCATCTGCAGGTTGCATCAGCTTTGACGAGAAGGCTACTTTCATTGCATTGGCAGAATTTTCAACTCTTCGCAGTTTCGATCTCAATTTCAGTATCTTGGGTGGATTGCAGTTGTTGTGAAGCATCTGTTACTCGCGAAACCTGCCACAAGTGCAATCAAGGAAAGGATCCTCGGCGCACCCGGAATTCATCAAAATCTCGCTCAAATACCTCATAAAACTTTTCAAAACTTTCCCAAATCAGCTTCACAATCGCTTCCATGGATCCCCTTATGGACGACCAAAATGCTGATGCGCCTAGCCTAAACTTGCTCGGTCAAGCCACAGCCCGGCTATTTGAATATGGCAACAACGCCAGCAACAACCTGCAGGACACCTTTTCCAAGATGACAATTCATGGGTGGCTTCGTCTCACCGTCATTGTCGGAGGGTACCTGTTGCTACGCCCATACCTTATGAAACTGTCTGTCAAGACTGCGGTGTCGAAAATGGAAGAGGAAGAGGAGAGAGAAAAAGCCAAAGCCGCTGCCATGACACCCAATGAGCTGAGGGGCGCCAAGCAACAGCTAGAAGAGCATCTGGAGGATGAAAGCGGCGACGGCACTGGGGCGGACTGGGGTCAAAGGGCCAGAGTGCGCCAGCGAACCATGCTGAAGGAGATGCTGGAGGCAGAGGAGCAGAGACGGATGGAAGAGCAGGAAGACGACAAGGACATTGCCGAGTACTTGGAGGACTAGCTGCCGCGCTTGAATAACTTGCGAATTGTTTGTATTGCACCACAACTCTGTACTATAATTACCAACGAGGGACTTGTTTAGTGCTTTAAGCTGGCTGGTCATGGGAATTGCGTGTCCTGGCGAGGCAGCATTTGTACTATAGCCTTTGGCTTTGTCAACTTTCAAAATCCACATTTACATGGCGTGTCTTTTGTCATGTTCCTTCTTATTCCTCGGCATCTGATCTGTTGACTGTCGGCTGCATATCCGTAGTCTCACTCAATAGAGGCAAATATGTTTCTTATGGATCTCTGCGGCCAACCTGCGACCCGCACGGCCCGAGCAACCACAATTCTTGACACTGTCGAAATGGAAAATTTCAGTGTCATCACGATTTAGGTGATATTGCCCGTCGCCCAAAAGTAATCAGTCGACAGGCAGTTTTGCAATGCAGAGGAAACAAAGAAGTGACGCCAAGCTTCTAGGCGTTGTGGCAGTGGCGGGGCCGCTGAGGGGCCGCTGTCAGGCGCTAGACCTAGGAGAACTGCCAGCATCGTTACAGTGCAGAGTCACTGCAGCTACAGTGCATTGGCAGGATCAAGGTTTATAGTTATATTTACGAGCATTAGGTTTAATAGAATTATAACTTAGGGTTAGTCTTGGTGTACGAGACTAGTATAGACATTAACCCTTGCCGGAAAAACCACTCACAGTGTTTGAGTGGCAAGAACTAAGAATTAGCCCGCCGGCTGCTCCCTTGCTGTCGATGTCATGGCTTCGCCGCTCTACCCACTGCGCCTCAGCGTTTCCCGCTTGCATGCATATTCTCGAGGCTTGTGACTGTTTCGCATTCTGCTGAATTCTTCTTCGTCCCTTTATTTCTTCTTCTCATTCCCCTCATCTTCTTCCTCTTTCTTGCATACCTGAGCGTTGTGCGCCTGCTTTTCTTGTTACGTCGTAGCCTTTTTTTTGCATTGCGTCACTGCAATCCCTGCAAGTCAGTCACCCCAAGTTCAAGGCCGCAAGTCATCACTGGTTGTGCGGCCTGCAGCCAGGCAACAACTCAGCAGACTGAAAATCACCGTCATCAACCTTGATTCAACCGCAAGACAGCTCTTGCAGTACTAGGGCATCAGACTGCCGGTGTCATGCATTGAAAAACCCACATCAAGCAATTTCTCGATATGGGAGATTCCGTCAATATTCAAAACTTGCTTCAAGCGGGGTACTTTAAAACTTCGCGAAGCAAATCCCCCAGCCACGGCCAGTTGGACCGCGACGAAGACCCTCGCCGCGTACAACGGCCACGCGACGACTACGACTATGAGTCTCGATACAACCGGCCGTCACAAAGCCCCTCGCCCATTCGTCTACCACCACCGCCATCGCATGCCCGTACCGCGTCTCAAGGCAGATCTGCGCCTCCTCGCCCGACCGTTGATGACGAGGATAGCATTCTTGAAAGAGAACATGGCTACATAAAGACTATTATTCCGGAAGAGGAGCCCTCTTCCAGGGGCAGTGTCGATCAGGGCCATATCATTGAGGAGGTTCACGAGTTCAATCCCGAAAGACGATTCGTTATTCTCGACGATGAACCCGCCACTTGTACAAACGGTGACAAGACAGACTCTACACGAGATAAATCTGAGCTCAGTCCTGAATCGGCTGAAAGCTCGAAACCAGCAGATGGCTCGCGCAGTTCAAATAGCAATTATCCGGGCACCCGAGGTGCTGGCTTATCGCCACCGCCACCGCCGCCGCCGCCAGACCGAAGGCGGAGCCGACAGGATTTGCCCGTGCTGGACACAGAGTTCAGTGAGCGCCGATATACAGAACATCACCGGAGCCGGTCCGCTGTGAATGGTCCACGGCCGGACTATTTCAATTCTTCGCGATCGTCTCGACCCTATGGGGACCAGCTTTTATCTCCAGATATCTCGAAACGAAGTTTCCGCAGTAGGGAAGATGGCAACTACGGCCGAGATAGACCTCGTGAGAAACAATACTCCAGAATTACACCGGAAAATTCCACCAGACGGTCAGATACTGCCTCAGAGTATCGAGCACCAAAGCGAACCAGTTCAACCGACAGAGGCAGCGATCGCCGAAATCGAGAACACTATTCGACTTCTTCTCGAGAGGATACAAGTTCCAGAGCAGCTCCACCCTCCTCGAGAGAATACAACACAAGGTCATCAGCGCGCTCCTCCCGCGAACCTAGCCGCTCCAAAGATGAGTATCCAAAGGCCTCTCAACCTTCAGCTGCGTCGCGAAGGCCCCTCATTGTGCAGGAAGAGAGCCCATTGAATGGCTCCAGGGTACCAGACCCCGAGCGAAGTACTATCCCAAATCCCTCAGCGAGGTCAAGCACCACACCGCGGGACAACGCGCCGCCGCGGACAAGCACGATGCCCGTTTTTCCCGCGGAGAAGCCGCCAGTGCTTCGACCTGCGGCCACAATCAACTTGGCCCAAGAATCTCGGGATTTGGTGCAATCTCCTCTGCCATACCCTGAAGAAGACATGTTCGATGTTGATCCTCTTTATGTGCCACGCGATGCAAATCGCGCCACCAATGGTCCCGCTCCAACTTTGTGCATGCCAACGCTACCGCCCGAGCCCTTGGATGTATCTTCTGCAAAACAGAAGCGTATGGAAACATCTCTGCCCGAGTCTTCGGCACCCGAGACCAAAGAGTGGAAACCGCCCAGCTTTGTCCCGGAAAGGGATGGCTTGAAGTCGGAGCGGCCCGTCGGAACGTATCGAAGGTACTCGGAGAATAAGAACGAATCAGCGTCAGATCGTCTTCCTACCTGTCCTCGAACGGAGCCAGTAGTTGGCAAGGTCGACTGGCTCACGCTGCCGAGGACTGATTTCAACATTTGTCCCGACTGCTATGGTCAAGTGTTTTCCAATACGGACTATCGAACTCATTTTCAGCCTGTCTTGCGGCCGACTATGGATGCAATCGCTTGTGATTTTGGATCATCGCCATGGTATAGAATTGCATGGCTTCTCATCCTGAAACACAAGGATACGGATTTACACATCTTTCACGACATTGCCGCCATCTCGGCGGCGTCGCGCGGCTGTCCTGGAGATCGCAAGACGACGAGAGACTGGTACACAGTCAGAGACCCCTACACAAAGCGTCCAGTCCCAGAATTTACCGTTTGTTACCAGTGCGCCAGAACGGTTGAAGCTCTCTTGCCTAGTCTGCGGGGCGTTTTTGTACCTCTGGAATCCAAGTCAAGCCCTGTCCGCAGTAATTGTGCACTGCACTTTGCACCGGATCGGACAGACTTTATCTTGTACTTTGACTCGTTTGAGACGACGGCCGATAAGGCAGAGGAGTCGAAAAGGGGTCCTGATTTAGGCTATCTGGCGCAGAAGCTGGAACGCCTCTCTGTCCACAACGCCTGCCGAGAGGACAAGCCCGTCACGGACGGATACTGGCACTTTATGCAATTCTTGCCGCAGTTTACCGTCTGTGCAGACTGCTTCGATTACGTTGTGCGACCACGGCTACCAGACGAAAACGTCGTCGCGCGCAACTTTTATATCAAGCCGCGAAAGATTCCTTTGGCGACCTGCCAGTTGTACTCGCCGCGCATGCGCGATGTCTTTAAGCGAGCTTGTCGTCGAGACGATCCCAAGTATCTGGAAAGCAAGGTCAGGGAGAGGTTGGAAATCGAGTCGAGTATCAAGAGCAAGCTTGCAAAGCTGGACAGAGACGGGCAGAGGGATGCACGGACGGAGAAGCAGATTGATGCCTTGGTTGAGGAGTGGAAAGCGTGGGAATAGAGGGCCATATGTATAATGATGATTTACTCTGAGCATGGTATTATGATTGATGTGTATGGAACGTCATTTTTGCATAGTTTATGTGTCACGATGATATTTTGATGCTAATCTGAGATGGAGCCACGTTTACTATTTCCTATTTCCTGTACAATTTCTTATCACTTTTTTGAACTTTGCTCGCACGCTCGTCTTCTCGCTGATTGTTTCATAACCACTTTCAAATTGCGAACGACTTGGATGGTCACTGAGTCTTCTCCGCTCATCGCATAATGGCTGTACCCGAGACGGATCATTACTAGAAATTACGCAAAGTATTATATAAACGTACTTGGTACCCGCAGCGGCAAGTAGAGTGTTTAGAACAAGGTTCAGAGCTGGGGCCGTACATATTCGCCTTTCACTAATACGCCAGTTTTGTGTTGAACCTGTCATTGTGCGCAAAACAACCAAATATCGATTCGTAAGTTTTCTGCACAATTTAATTTCCATTCTAGGGTAAAAAACAGTAAATACAGTTTCATTTTAACTGCCCAACTCCGGTGCGTTGTCGCTAGGTTCCTTGTACGATCCTTCAGGCTTGGCGCCACGCGTCCTCTGGTTCATCATGTTGCTCTTGTCGATTGCTTCCCTATCGTCTCGTTCTGCATTGCCGCATCAGCACATGAATCCTCCACCACACGTTCTGCAATACCAGGATTATTTATTTTTTTTTCCTCTCTTCTCTACTTTTTCTTCTTTCTTTTTCACTTACCAAGTTGCTGGTCCGAGTCCGCCTTGGACTCGTCAATGGGGTCCTCTACCGGTGCATCGTCGTCTTGCACGGGGATTGATCGCTGTCCTCTGGTGACGTAGTCGGAGGTACCGGAGGAACGCTCGTCAGACATCTTTCGTGATTTTAGAAAGTTTGAAGGGGGGAGCAAGTAAAAGTGGTGGAGAGTGGTGGGCAGGGGATGATGATGAAGCAGTGAGAGTGTTGATGGGATTATGGAGGGCTCAGGTGTTTGCCGGGACAGAATGGTTTATAGTTTATATATAGGTGAGTGTGTTTGTGTTACTGCGTGTGAAATTCACGAATGTCCTCGTAATGTCTTGCGGCTCTTTCAGGGTGATGTCATGGAATTTTGGCCGGAAGATGGCGAAAGCAGCAGCAGCCATCATCCGATCCCTGCGCACAATCTAGGACAGTACATTGCCTCTTTACATTCGCACTGTCCATTACACTAAATCTTTTTTGCCTCTGATTTCCGTCATCGGTTTCGTGAGAGCGATTGCTGCTAGCTCAAGCAGATTGTGAATGATAGTGGACATGACCATCCTGACGTCACGTTGAGATTTACACCTCACCGTCTCGCAATTTCGAAATAGATCCATCTCGATACAATGTACCCCTGCAATTGTTTCAATTTGCCCTGTGAGTTATTCCACCCAAACTATCAAGGGCGCTCACTTTTGGTACTTTACGATTCGACTGATGTTTCCATCCTCGCTGTATGCGTGCGTGTCTGTGGACGCAGACAGTACATCGCATTACTGGCAATTTAAGCTGAATAAAACGAGGTTACTGGCGTAGCTCATGTAAGATATATGTTACCATCCTCACGAGTGACCGCGTGGGTGTAATCTTGCATCGGCAGCAATCCAGTCCTATGAGACGCAAAAACGCCCGCAGGCCAAAGGTACGACGACCCGTTTCGCAACTCAACGACCCTCCCGGTCATCAAAGTAGCATGATTCTTTCTTTCGTCGTCTTCCCAACGTCGGAAAGCTTTCCGTGTCATCCATCTCCACGTTGTGAGGTTGCCATTGCTACAACGAGCGCGCTCTCGGCCACGATGGCGGACCACACTTCAATCGTGGCCCGACATGCTGCGCTTTTGCGTAGCTCTTCAGCGCGTTGAATCTTTCAATGACGACTTAGCAGAATCTAAACTACTACTTCTTCTTACCAACTGCGTCCTTTCATTCTTGGCAAGTTTTCCTGAGACAAACTCACGGTCGACTAGTAAAGTCGATGCCGACATCGATGACGAACAAGCGCTGCGCCGGCGTACAGCACTTCATCCAACGCAGAAACGTGCGTATAAAATCGCCCCTAGTTTTTTTTCCTGGCATGCGCAAACGAACCATGAACTTTCTTTCTGGCTTCGTTGAGCCAGGATGCATGTATTTATATTTTGTAAAGCCGAAAGTCTCTTCAACTAGAGTGTGCCATGGAAATCACTCTATAAGCAAAGTCAAGAAAATTTTTAAAAATGTCAAACTTTGCTTTATATTACATGGCCTTTTACATGGAAAAGTAACAAGGAGCTTCCCTTGCTGTGGCCCGTTTCACCATGTATCTACACCTTTACTATTTACCGCGCACCGCGCAAGGCCTCGACCTCGCGCCGCAGCGCATCCAAGTCGGCCAGGATATCCGCTCCCTTGCTAGAATTTACAGACGATTTGCCCGGCGTCTCAGCGCTCGATTTGCGCGTGGGACTGCTGCTGCCTCGGTGCCGTGGTCGTGGTGGTGGCGGCGGCGGCGGCGGCGGCGCGCTGTCCCGCCTGTCGATGGAGGAGGCGCCGCCGCTGCTACTACTTCCACCACCAGGCAGCCGTCGCGCAGAGGACGGGTTTCTGGCCGGTGGCCGCGGCGGCGCCGGCGACCGGCCTGATATGGGCGACGTTTCCGCCGCGTTGCGCTGCGGGATCGATGACGACGAGGCAGTGGCCGAGCCGCTCTGCTTGGGTGTAGCGTGCGGCCGCCGGGGCGGTGGCGGCGCGGGGATTTGGCCGCGGGCCTTTTCGCCGCCGTCCTGTCGGTGCGTCGAGTCTATAGATGAGCGAGGCTCGTGATCGTCCTCGCCGGGCTTGGAAGAGGAAAAGGGTGGGTGCGTAGACTTTGAATCGCTACGTGCGTGGCCACGGCGTGGGGGCGGCACTGGTGCTGACTTTTTTGTGTTGCTGCTGGGCGCTGCGGCCTCGTTCGCATGTGAGTCATTCGATGATTTTTCATCCAAGGTAGATTCTGACTCATTGCCACGTGGTATATGTGAATGTGGTGCAATTTTGGTCTCGGACGGTACGTAGTGGTGCTCGGGTTCTTTGGGCTGCTCGCTCTTGATGGTCTTGCCGTGGCGAGAGCTTGGTGGTGGTGGAGGTATAAGCTTTTTTTCCTTGCTGGATTCCAAAGGTGAAACGACGCGTTGACCTTGCTGCGAGCTGCTCTTGTCGCCGTGAATCTCGCTATGCTCTTGGGCAGCTTGAGGAGAAGTCACGATTTTGTTTGCTTCCGCGTTTAGAGACGCAAGCCCTTGGTTGTCAGCGGGTACCTGACGGTCTTGCACTCCAGAATTGCCCGTCAGGAGGAGCCTCTTAAAGGCATCCACGTTGAGAGCCGGCGTGCCGGCGTTGGCGGCCTTGAGAACCTCTCCCTCCTCCCTTTGCTGCAGGTCCAGCTCTTCCTTGTTTGATGCATCTTCTATATCTTGCAGCGTGCGGCTAAAAGGGTTGCCGGGCGGTCCTCCTGGCGCCGAGGGAGGGGTCGCGAAAGCACCGGCAGCGACCCCGGAGTATGGGGGCGTTGTCGCGCCATCTCGGTCGCTTTCATCCGTCGCTGAGCCGGCAAAGGGGTCGTAGCTGACCGGGGGCGGTACCAGGCCTGCCCCGGTCCGGTACATGGGTTCGACATCTGGCCATTCTGGGGAGTCGGGCGACAGCGGTGGTGGCGTCAACACCCTGACCTTTTTCACTGGCTTCTGTTTACGGTCGTGCTGCGCTTTGGGCTCGGGCTCGGGCTCGGGCTCGTCGTCTGCGTCGCTGGGTTCTGGCTCGCGAAACGATGTGCGCGGGGGCGCAGCATGTGTCTGTGTCGCGTCTATTGGTTCAAGAGGAGGGAGAGTCGAGTCGGCAGCTTTTGCCTGTAGAACTGATCTTCGAAATGGGTTCGAAGACGCCATGATGCGTTCTGCGTTGAGGCTGCAGTCTCTCCTTGTCTGGCTTGTGTTGCTCGTCTAAATCATCAGCTGTACCCAATGTCTCTTCACATGGGAGCCAAAGCTCTTGGTGTGATGATGGGTGTCGTGCAGCTCTTCCTCGGAACGATGCTGTTGTGATAAATGTCGCAGATTCAATTTTTGAAGTGCGGTCGAGGCAGACTGTCGCGGGGCGAAAGATGGCTCAGACAGTGCGGGCAAGGAGTCTTATGCCATCTTCAAAGGGACATGTGGTGGAATGCAAGCTCGTGTTCATGCAAGATGTACTTCTCCGCCCGGGTTCGACGCGATGATGCGGCGACAATTTCTTTCGCTAGGCAAGCTGGCAATAGGAAAATAAAGTGACGTAGGCGGAGTATTGAGGGAAGAATTTCCAGCGAGATAGCAGGTGACTAGCAAGGCGTCGATACGATACTTGGCGCCGGAAGAAGCGGTTAGGTCATTTACCTAGCTTGCGTACTCGCTTCCCCTCCTTCAGCTCGTTCATCGGGTCTAAGCCTCTGAGGCTCGGAGGAGGTACTTTGGTACGTACATCGGCCGGGCTCTCTTCCAGGTGGGGCCGTGTCTGGTTCGTCAGTGATAGAAGGGTACCTATCTTCCTGTGGATGATGAATGTTGAGGTAGGTAGACTTCTAACTCCGCATGGAAGCAGGAGTTCACTCAAACCACCCTATAGTAAAATGATCATGACAGATTTCTGCGCAATAGCAGGCTTGACAGAGACGAAATCTGTGCAAAGACTATCTTGGGGTAGTCTTTGGTCACTCAGGGACAAGAAAAGTGACTAGTTGAGGTGTTTGAGCATATCATTGTCAATTTCACTTATACGGACAGTTGTGGTGATTGCGTCATGCACCCAACTTGTACTCAAACCCACGCGGTGTTCTACCCAACCAACGTGCATGATCCAAAAGTAGTATACCAACGAAAAAGAAAATCTACAGCAAAGAAATACAGGCGACTTACTGCATGTTCACCATTCAGCTTTCAACACTACTACACAAGGTCACGTCACAAAGGCCAGCGTCACGGATGCTTCACGTGCCACGACGGCGCTACCCGGGCCTCGTGGACATCTAGGCCAACGTTCGAAACGAACAGGCGCGGAATGTGCAAAAAGGCAGGCCCTATCCCGATGCGGACAAGTAAACAAAACCCCGGGAGTCTGGGCGCGTCAGGGGACCGAGGTGACGCGCATGCCAAGGGTACTCTGGCAATCTTATTAGGGCTTTGGAAGAAAAACAAGACGGAGCGTGACCATCACAGGAGGAGGGTTCGCTGTCTAACCACAAAAAAAACCAAGCAAAGGCCATATGACAGTCGGAAAAGTTGTATCCATAAAAACCGTGTTTTTACAATTCCACCTGCGCGTCGTTCAACTCATTAACTCGAGGAAAAAGAAGCCCGTCTCCCTTCCAAAAACCATACAAGAAATGTAATAAAGGATAGACTGTGCTGCCCTAGACGCGTACACGCGTCGAGAGCGGTATCGATAACTCGCACAGAAAGTAAAAACCTCATTCCCCTTTTTCCTCTTTGCCCGCGCCAATTCCACACACCGACTCCATTTCCGTTGGATGCACTACCAGAGCCATGGAGTCACGAGGAAAAACAAAAGCCAAAAAATATATCCCAGTCGCTGTAAAATCCCTCCCTCCACGCATAGACCGGCCCGTAGAGTAAAATAAACAGAGATATCACAAGCAAGCCCCAAAACGCCAATGACCGTTTCGTTACATCTTCAAGAAACACACCGCACGTCAAACAACGCCAACTCGTGAGAATTGGCTTATTTGGAGGCAGCAGCCTTCTTGGGAGTGGCTTTTTTAGGAGCAGCCTTCTTGACGGCGGGCTTGGCCGTCTTGGCGACACGGCCAGACTTGGTCTTGGTGAGGACCGTCTCGGGCTTCTCAGCCTTTAATGAACAGTCAGCAAAGAGACGCGACATGAAGAGACACAGACCAATGCGACGTACCTGAGTAGCAGCCTTCTTGGGGGCAGCCTTCTTAGTGGCAGCCTTCTTGGGAGCGGCAGCCTTCTTGGGAGCGGCGGCCTTT